TCGGCAAAGATGATTTCAACATCCTGTGCCTTGTCGCTTGGTGCTAATGCACCGGTGAACAGTACCTCCAGCTCGGACTCGAGAGCCTTGAAAAGGGACTGGTATAGCGTAGACGAGACCTCGCTGGATAGAACTTCTCGTGTGGCCTCCCTGATTCTGACGCTCGCGCAGCCGAGGAGCTGGATGCTAAGCTTCAAATACCTGCCAAGAAGCGGCTCTTCGTGATTCTCTGATGGGAGCCGATCGATCCACCTCAGGCCACCGATGGTCGGTTCCTCCAAAATCACTGCCTGATTTGCCGTGCATATGCCCCCGAGTGACGCCAGAAAACCGGAGTAATTCCGCCACTCCGTCAGAGTTCGCTCGTCAACAGCATCGACTGGCGCCATGGAAACCTCCCTTGAAAGGAGCAGCCACCTTTCGAAGCCGTATTCCCATGCTGAAAGGATGCCGCTGGTCGGGTACTGCAGGCGTCGGAGTAGCCCGCGCACTCTCTTTTGGAAGGCGACCAGCCCGGTGAAGCGGAAAGCCCGCGACGCAATCTCTCCATACACGTCGCCGTTCCGGAGAAGCGTAGCAAAGTTTTTGGAGGCGTCTGACGTGATATCCACGAGATTGTTCTCTTCGTAGAAGATGCCGATGCATGAAGTGACAGTTTGGCAGGTGTCGACATCCGCAGAACACAAGGATACGAGTAAAGTCGTCTCAAGTCTGGATGATGCAGCCTCCACCTCAGAGATATCATCTGGCAATTCCGCCAATTCCTTGACATCGAAATCCGTCAGCCCAAATAGTTTTTGTTGAATGAGGCAACTCAACTTACGCGAAGCGATGCGAGTAGGAATTTGCGAGCTTCGAGGTACTCATGGATGGCTTTTACTTCCAGCCCATCTCCGTCAGACGTCACCTGGTTGCACATGCTAAGCAGAACCAAGGAGCTGGTGTGGCCAGATTAGCATGGGGCCCATATGTGGGAAAAGCCGAGAAGAAAAGAAAAGAAAAGAAAAGAGTCCTACCTGCGCCTCCAAAACTCCCGCCTGAGAGTCAACGACTTCAGTCTGCTGCGGGAGCGAACGGTTTCCACGATGGTTTTATCGGAGAATAGACGCTTCGCGACGCCAGTCGCCAGTCTACGGACGGTCGAATTCACGGACACAACACAGGACAAGAAGGATAAGAAAGCATCCTCCTCGGCAGCGCCAGCGCTAGCACCAGGCTCACCCGGACCATGACCGTCGAAAAGCGAGTGCGGCGACGCGTCTAGGAACTTGAGCACATCGCACGCCATGTTTGTGGAGGATTGCAAATTCGAGTCACGTCGAGGCATGGCAAGAACGACAGCAGTAGTTTCCGTTGGCAAGTCCGCCACAGCCTGCAGTCCGGTTACCACCACGCATTGATAAGTATTATGCAAAAAAGACGAAGACGAGGAAATCACAGAAAGGGGAGGTCAACCTCGCATACCTTGAGTTGAGCCCGCATGTATGGGCCAGCAACCGTGAACAGTTGCTCATACCTATGCGAGTCGTTCTGCCGCGCAAAGTAGCGACAACCTTGTACGACAGCGGTTTTGAAAGCTTGCGGCGAGGACGGGCTTAAGTATGATTGGAGCGAGTCGACGCAGGTTTCAGGCGACAGTTGCGCCAAACCCACGAAAGCCGCCGTCATCAGGTCTTGATCAAGAAGAGAAGAGTCGCTGCCACCACGACGGAAGACTGCCTCCCTGACTTCGTCCTGAACATCCATCGCATAGCTGACGAGTGCTGCGTCGTCCTCGGCGATGAAATGTCGAGCTGCTCTGAGCAATGAGACGAGAGAGTATGCGGCCTGTTCGTTCTTGTTTCGCACAGCCTTGCGTAGGCCGTCAAGGAAGCCAACCTTCTTAGCCATGCTGCCACTTTTAGCATCGCGGAGATTACTAGCCACCTCGAAGACATCTGGAAGAAGGAACAGCAATGTCGTCTGGAGCGGATATAGCATCCCCTTCTTCCGGCCATTGTCCACAACTGTCTGTGTCATGTCGAAGAGCGTGTCAGCGCCGCCATCGAGGCGCTTGTGCAAAGTATGTTGCTGCACAAACTCGTGAGGATATCGCTCTAACCAACGCGTGATGAGGAGGGGGGCAACCACAGCGACGGTATTTTGGAAGGTTTTGCGGAAATGCAAAAAACTCGAGCATATTTCCTGTATGATTAGGCCCAGCTTCTGCGCGTCGACCCAGAAGAAGGATAAGATCTTGAGAACAGACAGAGCAGCCTTGTCGTCGTCCGGTGTAGTGGCGGATTGGCCAGGTGCGGCTTGCACGACGGCGGCGGTGCGGACGGTGTAGACGACATTTCTGAAATAGTCAAACGAACACGACCAAGTAGACGCTGTAACGTATTCAACAACCACACGTATGCATGGCCCCATGACAGCAAGATGGGCCGCCGCAAGGGCGTCGTCGTCAGGAGCATCGCCATCACCCAGCAGCGAGGCAAGACCAGTTGCGGAGCCAGAAGCTGGGTCGGCATGTCTCGTTGCGTCGTCAAGAATAGTGGAGGAGGGAAGAACATAGCCCTCAGGTATGGGGTCAACGAGCCACTTGAGCAAGTCGAAGATGCGAGTGACGAGTGTCTCGTCTAAGGGCTCGGGAATTTGTGCAGGAGTATTGCGACGCGGCTCGGATTCGGTGGGATGGCGTAAGCCATGGGCTTGAGCCTTGACATGATCCCAATGTGCGGTGCAGCAGTCGGCGGCTAAAGAGAGGACGTATATTTCGGAGAGGAGGACGTGAGGAGGATGGGTGGGCGGAGGCAGGCCCTTGTAGTTGCGAATTATGTCTTCGAGGAGGGCGACGAGGGAGTCGAGGACGAAGGCAGCGGCATTGGTGCTAATCTTGACGAGCGTAGATCTTGTGATGAGGACAACGTCGTCTTGTTGGAGCTCTTGGCCGTGGGTTCCTGTCCTGTGCGGGAGCTGAGAGAGGGCAAACAATGATTGTCAGCCAAGTGCGTCGGTGAGCAAGCGAAACGAGCCGCCAGCGATTGCGTTACGAAGTAAAGCAACTTACCCTGGTAGCAAGTCTATCAACCAAGCACCCAACGAGACCAGCATCGCCATTCATTTCTGCGGATTGTGACAGTCGGGTTCATGACCGCACGCGTCTATGCCGCGTTCTTGTTTTCCCTCCTTCGGACTGATGCTCGAGTGTTGCGATATGGCGGTTTCAGAGTTCGCGATTCAATATGAGGCGGGGCACTGCAGAAGTCGGCAAAGGTAGGTAGCTATCGCGACAAATCGGCGCGGAGCGAAGCCAACAGGTATCATCAATGGTAGACTGCCTCCCGGCCAGTGGTGCGACGTGGCGTGCAGGGTAGCAGATGTAAGTGTTAGGCGGTGTCGAAGTCGTCGATCGTCGGTCGGGATCGCGCACACACGATGCTGCTGGACCTGTCTTCGCCTTGAGGCACGTCCTCGAAGCACGTTCCACATTCCACATTCCAACACCCAAGCTGAAGATACCTAGCTAAGTAGGTAGGTAGTCTTCAGTGTAGTGGTGATTGGCGAGGCACCCAGGTAGGGGTCTAGCACCGCATTGTTAGGTAGGTGCCCTACGTACGAGCCTGGGTAGTAGGTACCTGGTACTTAAGGGTACAAAACGCCCCCGTCACACTGAGCGGCCTTATCCAGAAAAGCAATTCATCTATGGAATAACCCAGACGGCAGATTCGTCATTTGCTTCAGCACCCGGTCCCGCTTAGTGCACTTACAGGGCCAAAGTCACGGGCTTACAAACCTTCAGGGAGTGCATTGCAGGTAGGTCGGGTACTTAGGCACAGATGGGGTACAGATTACCTCTTAGGTAAGGTACTATGGCACCTCATTCTCTTGCCCGCGAGGTTAGGTTCCTTGCAGGAAGCAATTCATCAGGTGCCTTAAGGCAAGGAACCTAAGTAAGGTACGGGGTACCTGTAGGAACGAGATTCCAGCAGAGCCGTGAAGTCGCGTCAGAGGCTTGCCCCAAATCGCTGGATGGTGACGCTTACCGTCTATCTGAGGCACGGAAGCTTATCTACATACCTCTGAACGACCTTTACAGTTGGTCCGTTACGTTCCCGCCTGATTTAGTAGACACCTATCCATGCTGAGCTACCTGCCTTACCTACTTGGGTAGGTACTATATACAATAAGCGGGTATATGCTTGGACATAATACGTTATTAAGACATATGGGTAGGTACGTAAGCAAAGCTAGTCGCATTTAGGTTCTGGTATTTCAACTGGGCGTTTGATGTGCAGCTAACCACTTTCAACCGGCGTGACATGCTTGCGTCAGTCGAGGCGGTGTGCAACAGTCGGCCCAATCTGATTTTAGAGAGTCAACTCATAGTGTCGTATCCCCAACATCGCCTGGATCTAGTATTCTCTTGAAGCAAGCTGTTTCATTTTTCGGGGCATGGCCACTGAATTTAACTAAACCAATCACAAGCCAGAAGAATCCTACCGAGAAGGCGCATCCCGTTGCATTCAAGGCCGCTTCGCGTCTCCTCTAGACGCCTACATGCTGGCGGGGTACCTAGTTTACTCGGCCGAATCGGCCGGCCGCCATCCCGGCGCCGAATCCCAGTCCGGTCTACACCTACTCTGACATCTCAAATGTTAGCGCGGACAAGATTCCGCTGTTACCAGGGGTTTGTAAAAGACCATGGGGCAGTAACAGTGGGATCCCTTCCACGCTAACATTTGAGGTGCGAGTAGGTGTCTCAGTATATTTCTTTTATTTTCTTGACCGCTGAATAATGTGGTTACCTCCACATTTGGGGCAACATGTCGCTCCTGTTATCGCCGTCTTGACTCCTGCAGCAGTTCAAGTGCGACCAACTCCTCGTTGTTGAGCTAGAGCTTACATCTGTAACCTTTCATCGTAATAGTGGTACACACACATGTCTTTAGTGCTTCTCATTTTCGTTGCCTTTTTCTTGCGTGTTCTGTGCAGCATGTCTGCAGCTGCAGCATCCCTTATTTTCCGATGAAACCAAATGCGCGAGTATCGTCTGCAGCATCAGTAGTTGCGCCCTCCACGATATCCGCCGCCGCCGCGACCGCCCCTGTAACCGCCGCCCTGATAGCCTCCACGCCCTCCTCCGCGGCCTCCGCGATAGCCGTTGTCATGTTGACTTGGATACGAGCTTTGAATAGGTGGCGGCCCGTAATTTTGGTGTCCATGCCCTCCGTTGCGGTATGACCCATTCGAACTGTTATGGTACGTCGGCGGCGGTGGGGGCGGGAGGCCCATACCAAATCCTGGATGTCCCGGTGGCGGAGGCACCCATTGACCCTGGGGTGGCCTCGGTGGATAACTAGATTGTCCGTAGTTGCCGTTGCCCGAATACCGCCCCCCGTTACCGCTGCCCGGAGCAGAGCCGAACTGATCTCGGCGGCCACCACGGCTGTATCCATTGTTCCCTGGTGGCCCTCCGCCATGGCCCCGTCCGCCTCGAGATGACTTGCTCTTCAATGTCTCAATGTCACTGCGGTCCAGTGCCGCTGTTGGTAACTTGACGCCTCGAAGCAGCATTGATTTGTGGGGATGCGAACTAGCAGGGAATGAATACCAGACACTGAAGAAGAAGTTAGCTTTTGACGGAGAACGCAACGGAGTTGTGTGTCTGGAGTTGTCGCAGCTCACCTTAGGGATCTGTCGTAGTCAAGATTTGGCATACCACCACGTTCCAGAGGATAAACCAATGCACCGTGAGGTAAGTATTCCGGGATCTTCTCAATCTGACCGGACAAGCCGCCGCTCGTGCGTGGGTTCAGCTTCAATGTCGGCGCCCCTTGCTTCTTGGAGTAGAAGTTGGTCGTGATCTCATCGTATAGCTCGTGATGAGCATCCGATAAGAGTAACACATCTCTGCCTAATCCATTTCGGGCCTGATCTGCGGCGCTCAACAGAGGGTATTTCCGCTCGACCGCAGCCAACAATCTCGGCATCTCAATGAACGGTAGCAATGCGACACCTTGCCAAGCCATCTTTTTGCCGTTAAGATCAATCTCAAAGTCGGAGGGATAGAAATCGATGACCTCGCTGTCCTCGTCCAACATGAGATCGTGAAAGACCTCCGGTAGCGCATGGCGAGATGCGGCGGGGAGCACACTCATCAATTGCTCGAATGGCTTCGAAATGCGTCCCTGGGTAAACGAGATTTCCATCTTGTCCAGATCCACAAAGTCTGCCGCGAAAGGAGCATAGTGATAGGGGTAATACCACTCCCACGACGGACAGCCCTGGAAGTAGTACAGAAGAACCCAGGACAGGCCCTCAACATAGGCCCTGGCAACCTGGTGACGAAACTCTACGTCCTTGCGATCGACATGGAACTTCTGCTCGTAGTATCTGTCGGCGTAGCCCTCCTCCCACATTCTCACGTGGTCAACTGCCGCTTCTTCAGCAGCGGACGGCGTACTCGGCCCTGTCGCAGTTGTGGGTGTTGAGGCGCCTTGTTCAGGTTCGCCTTCAGCTTTGCGCTTCCCAAGAATCGACCGTTGGTCAGGATTGCTAGGAGCATTGTCCCCAGCAGTTTGGGTGGCATCACCTTCCTGTGCAGGCTCGACTTTTGACATCATACCCTTGATTTGGTCCCGGATGGCGCTTGCCGCGCTCTTATTTGCTGAGTTGGCGTTCATGTTGGATGATCGGCCGACTACCATGTCGTGAGTGATTCCGTTGGGGCCCCCCGCAGCTGGAAAGAGGGCCAAACCGGCCGCAGCGTTATCGATCTGTTTAGGCTTGGCGTTCCTGGGTTGATTGCGTTCCTCTTGGAGCTTGCGCCGTTTCGCGTTGGCCTCCCTGCGATCTTCTTGCTCTTTTCTTCTCTTGAAAATGCCGTCTTCTTGCTTTGCCAAACCGTTCAAGATCAACTGGGCCCGGCCGAGATCCACGTGGCCGTCCTTCGTGACGTAGCCGCCCATGTGTGGGAGGCTATCTTTCCAGATAGCTGTCAAGGTGTCGATGCCGTTTTCTCGAATCTCAAGGGCGGGCAAGTGGGGCAAAAAGTCGTTACCCACGAAACAACACATGAAAACCCAGTCATCGAGGGCTCTCTCCAAGTCGAAGCGGAACGGCAGACCAGGCACATTAAGCTCAATAGCCAGGTACTCCCGTAAGATGGACACATGAAGCCAGATGAAGGGCTTCAGGGCTGGTGCCTTTTCCTGCTCGTCGAATTCGCCAACCTTCTCCTTGGCCTCTCCGCGACAATTGCGAGCCTCATGACCTTTTTGCCCGCATATTCTGCAGGTCCTAGGCTTGCTGTCTTGGAAGAAGACGTCTTCACGCAGTACGCGGAAATGAGGCTCGTGCGTCGCAAGACCAAGCATGATCAAGTCGGCGTCGAGACCATAGATGACATGGCGGGTGTTGGGATCGTAGTCGGGAGAAATGCGCTGCGATCGCACGAATGACATGATCTTGTGCTCACCCTCACCGGGCACTGTGGCATCCGAGATGATTATCTTCATTTGTGCCCAAGCCGGATCGGTGTTGAGCTTGTACGCGCACCAGTATCTCAGACTAGCCGCCAGGATGTCCATAAAAGGAGTTCCAGGGGTGATTGAGTTGGAATCGAACGCCTTCTTGGTCATGCTCTCGAGAGTTTCTGCCGGGAGAACGCCGCCATTCTGCTGTTTCAGGAGCTTCATGAGCTCTTCCTTGTCTTCCTCCTTCTGCTGGGCCTCTTGCGCGGATCGGAAACGTCGGGAACGCTGCTGGTTCATCTTGGCACGGGGCGCGACGCCGTCTGGACGTTCATAGTTAGTCAAATAGTCCAAGAGCGAATGCGAGAGATAGATGGGGCACTAACCAACAGCAATCATGAGAAGCTTTCGCGGGCGGACCATGTTAACAACGCGGTCTGTGTATCTGAAAACTTCGAGCATCATCTCCTCCTCGTCCTTAGGCGCGGGGCGATCCTCGGGATGAGAACACGGATGAACGATACCGTTCATGTCGAGGTAGAGGTTATCGAGCTCTTCGCCGTTGGGGTTGAGCCCGGTAGTATCGACGGGTATTTCGCTGCCATCGTCCATCTTTACAGGTTGCTCCTCAATCACCGGCGAGATGATCTTGGGGTACTTGTTGGAGAGCCATCGGAAAGCAGCGGGGATACCCATCTTTTCTCGAACTTCAGCAGATTATGCAAGTATATCGGTCTGGGTCTGTAGAGAAAGCGCAGACGGCGATAGAGACTGATTCCGGTAGAACTCAGGCAAGCGTCTGACGCATGGGTCGTTGCAGTTTCTGAGCTGCTGAGCGAAGGATACAGTGGTAATCAGCAAAAAAGCGAGATTTTGACGACGGTCGGGTCAGGAAATGGAACGGCGCTCCGTGACCGATGTTTGTGACTGACGAAGGTTTGGGTGATGAGGTTGAATCGAATTCAGCGTCGTCAACGCGACCGAGATGTGAATTGATGGCAAGGTCGGATAGGTAGACTCAGCGCGAGTTTCGCAACGGAAGTGAGGTCTGAAGGTGAGTGATTCAAATGGACTTGTGCCGGGTGATTTCGTGACGCCGACCCGGGAATGCGACGTGCTTGTCAAATCTCCAACCACGCCGAGATGGAGATAAAGAGACAGGCTGAAATGCGAAGCGTCAAACTCGGTTCTCAAGTCCTGCATTGCCGTCAGTTCCCACAGAACGCGCTAAAGGCAAACAGGTAGAAGGGCTCGGACCAATCCCTGTTAAGATCGATCCATTATGCTAGTATCCGCTTGTGCGAGAAAGCTCGGAGCGTATTCAATTCTAACCCCCCACTAAGCCCCTACCTACCCTTCTATCGGTGGATAATGCTGGTTCGGGGCAAAGTACACCTTTCCAACCCGCAGTCAATACGCGAGCGAAACGACAGCTTCAGATTTGTTTGGCGGCTTTATCTCACGAGTCCATGAACTGATCTGCTCTCTACTGGCTGTCTATTGCCACCGTAGCTCCGTCTTCTTCCCCTTTGCCACCTCCTTCGCCCATGGCATTGCTGTGAGTCTCAATGGCCGCCGCTTAACGAGACAGCATGTTTTCCATTTCCACAGCTCCGGCGAAGCAGTCCGTCGGCGAGACCATCACCGTCTTGAGCGGCCGTCTCAGTTCGGCCACGCTACTTGAAGACCGCCGAGCTGCCATTCTCGGCCTACGCAGCTTTGCGAAAGATTTTCCCGCCTCCGTCGCCTCCGGAGCCTTGCGCAGTCTTATTGGCAGCCTCAGCAAAGATGCGGAAGATGTCGATACCGTCAAGGTGGTCCTCGAGACATTGCTAATGCTCTTTAGCCCCAACGAAGATAGCCCAGAAGCTTCGGAAGAGATTGTCTTGTGGCTGGCTGACGAATTCACTCAGCGCCAGGAAAACATTACCCTGCTGCTCGACTTTCTAGACTCGAATGACTTCTATTCTCGACTATACTCTCTGCAACTTCTTGCCGCCATTCTCTCTGCCCGCACAGAGCGCACCGAAGAGTGCGTCTTTACAGCCCCCCTGGGTATCTCACGATTGGTGGCCGTCCTCGATGACACCCGTGAGGCTGTCAGGAACGAGGCCATCACCCTACTCACATATCTGACCCCCTCCTCTGCCGACATACAGAAGCTGGTTGCCTTCGAGAACGCTTTCGATCGACTCTTCAACATAATAACCTCAGAAGGCTCTTTGTCCGATGGAGATCGTGTCGTGGAGGACTGTCTCATTCTGGTTGCAAACCTGCTCAGGAGAAACCCGTCAAATCAGTCCTTGTTCCGCGAGTCGGGTGGGATTCGACGGTTGGCGGTCTTGCTGGAAGGCGCAGAAAAGGCCCAGCGGGAGGACGCAGAGATTGCCGCTTGGGCGCAAACCCAGCGCAATCGAAACATTTATGCCCTTCTTGCCGTCGTACGCTTGTTTCTAGTAGTTGGAGCTGTTGGAACGTCGCAGAACCAACTCGCTCTCTGGCAGCATGGCTTGCTGTACCATGCCCTTCAACTGGCCTTTAGCCATGTAGCGCAGCTCCCAATCAAAGCAGAGGTTGGTCGTTTCCCGTCAGCTATACCTTGTGTGTACTATCATGTTAAACCCTTTTATGCCTGCAGGCCCTCGTAACCTGCGCCGACATCATTCGAGGCAATGCAACATTGCAGGAAGGCTTCGCCCAACTCCAAGTTCCTTCTCCTCTGGGTCCTCACGTCCTGACTGACGCTCCCCAAACCAACGGTGTCGTACAAGTTTACGTGATAGACGGCCTACTGGATCTCACGCTCAGCGTTCAGGATGTGGAAGCGTTCGACTTACGGTTGTCGGCGTCAGATTGTCTCAAGGCTTACTTCTACAACCACGCAGATATCCGCCTACACTTCCTCAGGAGAGCCATCGAAGGACACAAGACAGGGGCCGATGAGACCGCCAATGTGCTCACTGTACTAATGCGACCGTCTCCCGATGTCGTCGTCCCCAATCCTTACCGCAGCTGGTTTGCTTCCACCATCATGTTTCATCTCCTTTTCGATAACCCAGAAGCCAAGAGCCTTGCTATGGCTGTCACGGAGGGCGATGAAGACAGCGGCGAGGAGGTTGTCACAAGCATTCAAACCGTCACTGCTCACCTGATCTCAGGACTAAACCGCGAGGAGGACAGTCGCGTGGTAGTTGGGTATCTGATGCTTCTTCTCGGCTGGTTATTCGAAGATCTTGATGCGGTCAATGACTTTCTCGGAGAAGGAAGCAATGTTCAGAGCCTGATACAAGCCGTCAACCATCCGTATCCCTCTGGTGACGTCGTCCAGGGACTCTGTGCCATGCTTCTTGGCGTCGTTTACGAGTTTTCGACGAAAGATTCCCCAATTCCGCGCACCGACCTACACTCCATCCTCACATCGCGGATGGGACGAGAGCGGTACATTGATAAGCTCTCAAAGCTAAGAAGCAACCCGCTGGTGAGAGATTTCGAAGTCATTCCCCAGAAACTGAGCGGTTCAGGCTTAGGCAAGTTGCCTGATGTGTATTTCGATTCTACTTTCGTCGACTTCTTTAAGGACAACTACAGCCGCATTTTACGAGGTATAGATCGAGACCCCGGGTTGGAGATATCAGTCGTTTCCAATGGCGTACAAAAAGGTGTTTCTCGGGAGCTGGTCGATTCGCTTCGAAGCCAGCTGGCGGAAAAAGACCAGGCTTTGCAGGAAGCTCAGGTCAGTCTAGAGACGGTTGGCCGACAGATTGGTCAAGAGCAGGCCGATCACCGGCGAACCCGTGAGACGTCCGCCTTGGAAATGGCGAGAATCAAGCAGGTGAATGAGGGGCTACAGAGGCAGCACGATGCAGAGCTACGGCAAGTTTTTGTCTAAACCGCGCCGACGACCGGTTTTACTAATGGGTTCTCCTAGAAATCTCCAGAGCAGAATGGTGTCTATGCAAGAAGAGCATCAAAAGCAACTGGAGCAGGCGCGGCGCAAAATTGAATCCCAGGCCGCAGCACTTGAGGAGGAGCACAAGAAGCAGGTGGCAGAGCTTCAAAAGAAGGCAGATGCTCGGGTTGCCGCACTCGAGCAACAGCGCAGGGCTATCGATCTGGAGCACAGGAAACAGATGGATCAAGTACAACTGACCGTCAAAGCCCAAGCTGCATCCCAGATTGAGGAGCACCGCAAACAACTTGAACAGGCTCGAAAGACAGCGGAGTCGGATGCTGACCGCGTGCGTCACCGCGCCGAGGCCGATATGGCTGACTTGAAGGCCACCATTAGCCGGCTTGAGGTTGATCTCATGAAGGTAAGTTGCAGAACCGCAGTTCATTCTTAGATATGAGGCTCATATGTCACAGGCCAAGAAGACCAAGGCGCAAGAGATGCAGGCACTTCGGGATGAAATGGAGAGGAAAATAGAGGAACATGCAAGCCTGACCGAAAAAGCCAACTCCCGTATGAAACAACTCGAGAAGGACCTCCGTGAAACCCAGGAGAAAGCGGTCCAGGGCGATATGGCTGTGAAAAGAGCCGAGGAGGACAAGAAGGCGACCCAAAACGAACTGGATGACCTCCTGATGGTCTTCGGCGACCTGGAAGAGAAAGCGGCCAAGTACAAGGTAAATAAATGGCTCCTCAGAGATTCTCCTACCGACGCTAACGATGCTACAGGCCCAACTCAAAGCCCTTGGGCAACCAGTTTCCGACGGCGAAGACGATGAAGAGGACAGTGACGAGGAGGGCGAAGACGACGACGAAGACGACGACGAAGACGACGACGAAGACGACGACGACGACGACGCAAAAAGTGAAGATGTCAAAAGCACCAAGAAATAGTATCCTGCAACATGGCTCTGTCCCCAACCTGCGCCAGGAAAGCGCCCTCGGTCGGCACGAGCGACAGCTGCCGTATGGGCAAGAAAAGTTTCAGCGTCTTGATACCACTTTTTTTTCTTTACAATGTACATAACCCAGTCTCTGAAGCAGCCCCTATCATGGAAGCACAGAAGGTTTGACCGTTCTTTGCCTAGTACCTGTTTGGACAACGTCCAACGTGCAGCACTCGGCGGGGTGCAACCCGCAATATCTATGTCTAGGCCATCTTTGTATCTGATTCTCCATCTTCCCTGCGCACGAATAGCCCCGTCAGATTACCATGAACAGTCTATGAATAGAGACCAGTGTATCTTGCCGGGATCGGGCTTGGAGTCGCTGGGTGGGTGTGATAAGGCGCCCGCCAACGTTTATGCCATCGTGACCCCATGTTAAGCACATTGCTCATCGCAGCTTCCACATCTGCTCTCTCTCATCTTGACTAGCTGTCGTCCATGTGTTGCTGATGGTCAGAGCGCGGGGGTTGTTCTCGGGCGCCTTGAAGACAATACGGCCCGACACTTCGGTTCCCGACTTGACTTCAACATGATCTTCGAGTGACTTGTTCAACAAGACGCCTTGCTTCCAGTGAGTAGCCGGGCCGAAGGGACCGGTGGTGAAAGCCACCTCCCCAGGCCTGGTCACACTGTTCTCGCCCGGTTTGACATGCAGATCCGCCGGAATTGTGTTTTGCCGAGAGGTAGTAAAAAAGATGTCGAACCAAATCAAAAAGCCGTCCAGCGAGGGAACGTCCTTGAACAGTGTCGAGTTCCACGGGGCCTCGAAATTGAGATCCTCAGCCTTGACAGTGTGCAAGTCCTGGAACGCGATCTGGGAGGCTGAACCGCAAACGCAGTTCTCAGGCATGACCTCGATGCGCGCCTCGTCGTAGATGCCGGTCTTCATCGATTTCATGTCAAAGCCGTAGACGTCATCCCAGAAAGTGATAAAATCCGTGACGTACTCTGGGTCTGAGACGGGAGCCACCCAAATGGTCGAAACGCTGGGAACAAGAAGACCGTCGGGCTTCAAATAGCGGTCTCTGGCGAAAAGGACACTGGGAAGCATGGCCTCATACAAGAGGCAGTAACCCATCCACTCGCTGATGATAACATCAACCTGGTCTACGGGAAGTTCGATCTCCTCGATTCTGCCACGAATGAGAGTGATTTGGTCGCCGAGTTCATTGTGGTACACATTCTCTCGAGCCTTGTCAATGATGTCGGACTTGTCTACGGCAAACACTTTGGCTGCACCGGCCTTAGCACAGAACATGCTCAGTATGCCTATGTTGTATCAAACATGTCAGTGTCTGATTGAAATGAGACCCCGGCGACGGGGGCTCCAGATTCAACACTTACCCGTTCCGCAGCCGATGTCGAGAATAACCTTGTCTTTGAACAGGTGCTTGTTGTTGTAGACGAAATCCCGATAGGCATCCGTCCTGATGGTATCCTTGAGCATAGTCTCGTGAATGTCTGGTTTCGTTGTTAGTGACCAGGCGGCACTGCGACCAGGACGCTCTCCGAGATCTCCGTAGGGGCAGGCTCACCGTTGCCGGCATATGACTCCCAGTAGTACTGAGACTCATCCTTCCGAGCTTCCTTATCAACTGAGCGATCACGGCGAGTGGAAGTGCTTGGGACGTCATCTCCCCAACGTTGATCCAAAGTTTGCTCGACGGCTTGGCGGTAGCTAGCATACTGAGCCTTGAGCTTTTGTAACTCCTCCTCAAGTTCGGCTTCGCGGCTCGAAGCAGCCTTGGATTCTTGTGCACCCCCCGGAGCTTCGGCGTCGAGATTCAGATCGGCAAGAGCCATGATCAGGGCATCATCATCGATGACGGGCTTGAGAAAGCGGTCGTCAGAAACGTGCTCAGCAGAGATCACCTCTGGCAGACCTGCACCATCATGAATGCTTTGACGGACTGTTGTAGGGTGTTAATATCGTAGGTAGTGTTTATGGTGGATTGAGACGGGGTGGACAAACTGAAGTTGACGAGCCTGACAGTGCCGAAGAAGTCAAGGTCAAGACGGCTTCGGACAGCAAGGAAATCAAAGTTGTGCTTGTCGCGACAGTGCTGCAGCATAGCATCGAGATTGGGGAACACGGTGTCGTCGAGGAGAGAGATGATATCCACAGCCTCCTCCTCTTCGGGCTCGGCATCTTCCCAGTCAGATTCATCTGACGAGAGGTCGGACTCATCAAGCGTCTTTTTGTGTTTGTCGTCGGCCATGGTGAAGACCTAGTTCCGGATTTTGTATTTTCTCAGAAGTTGCCTCGTCTTTTCTTGTACTGAAAATGTTACTCGCGTTGCGTTTAACTTCCTCTCATAAATCGCGAAGGAACGACGCCTGTTCCGTGTGGTCGTGGGATTGTGAGAGTCGTAGTAAATCGTGAAGTTAGTGACGGATATTTTCACTCTACTCCAAGAGTGGGTGGGTACCTTACCCTGCTGGGGGGCACACGTCGGGTAGGTAGGTGGTGTGTGGGTGAGGTGGATGGACGTTGTTTCCCTTTTTGTGCGCAGGGTCAAATGCAGCAATTGGTGTGCCGTTTATTTAGCCCGTTGAGCACCGGTCTTTCTCCGGCCAGCATACTGGCTGGGAGCGCCAGAAGCACCTTCCCTGCAGCGAACATCAGCCCAGTACATCCGAATTTTGACATCGCGTCTTGAACTTCCACGTCATCACATGAAAGTGTACCAGTAGTAACGACCTAGGACGGTAGGCAGGCACCTTAGACCGCCTCGTTCTTTCCGTAACAAAAGGCAACAAGCTGGTGGTTTTAATTCAATCATACATCTGTAGCTATCTTCCCCTCATTTCAAACCACTGCAGATCCTTCATGCACACATAATATTGCCGTGGCCGATGCTTCAAGAAGCCCTCTAACTTCACAAGCGGCCGTTAGTAATGAGGTACGCCAACGCTTTGTAGAACCAGGTTGACTATGCTGAGGAAGCCCTCGCCGAGGATGAAACCCGATGCAAGCACAATCAAAGGCGTGCTGGACTGGCCTCGCCGAGAAATCCAGTACCAGCTCAGCAAGCCACCGACCGTCCTAGCTAGTGTGAAGGATGGGACGTTGTACATTCCTGTTCGTCTGTCAGTCTGAATTGTCCGTGAAAGTTCGCCATCGCTCATTTTATGATGTACGTACCGACTGCTACAGCAATACCGCCCGGCACCATAGATCGCCACGGCTTCCCCGTCGTCGTTGTCCTCACCACCGTTGTAATGGCGAAAATTATGCCAAAAGCAAAAGCCCATTCTTGCGCCATGGGTGGCAGGCCCTTGCCGGTCACGAGCCTGGCAGTGAAAATCCAGACATATCCTGTCGGTACCTGGAATAGGTCACCGGGAATCGTGTAGACCCTGAGTCGTGGTCAGCAAGTTTCGGAGTGACATAGCTTGAGCGGCGCATCCAGCGGATGAATGGACTCTGTACTCACGCCGTGTACAGCTGATAGACGAACGCGCTCACAATGGCTCCAGCCGTTGCGCCAATCACTTGGCCCCAGAACTGAGCCTTGGGTGCCGCTCCGAGAAGATGACCTGTTTTGAGGTCCTGCATGAGATCGCCGGCTTGCAGCGCGCCCTGGGAATTTAATTAGTGTATGAACCATGAGAGTTCCCTGTGGAGCTTATAGAGGACATACCGCTTCAGACTGGTAGTTCGCAAAAAAGATCGCAGGTTAGCATTATGTTTCCATGTCGATAACCGCAAAGCTCTAGGGCGGGCAAACGTACCACTGCGCCTGCAACCAAGTTGATCAGAACACTCGACCTGTGTGATTGCGGGATAATGAGGGCAAAGAAGAGCTGCGCAAGCTTGCTGATTCCAGAGACAGGATTCAAATCGGTCTCTCCGAGCGCTCGTACCCCCATGATGCTGAGGAGAAGTGCCATCAAAACGGCCACGATAGTCGCATAGAGGGGCACGAGGTCGCCAAACACGATATGAATTGTCGTTACGCAGAGTACGACAGAGAGCAAAAGGCCTATCAAGACCAGACTATTACTGATCTGCTGGTCTGCAGGTGCGTCTGCTTCTTCCTCTCTCGAGTCCTCGTCGGCCGGCACGGATACTCTGTGGCGAAGAGCTGTGTCTGATTCTTGGTCAAGCAGAAGCCTCCCGGTGCTTACTGCTTCTGCATCTTCTTCGGTATTGACGGCCGAATAGCCCTGCCGGGAGCTTTCTCGGGGCCCCAAAAGGCGCTGCCACATATCTGATGCCTGCTGAGACAGGCCCTTGGTCCCTGAGACAGTCAACCTTTGTGCAATTGGACGTAACGCAATGTGCCCTAGGCTCACGATGGCATCGGCAAGCATGACGGCCAACGAGACCCAGACAATCCAGCCCTTGCTTCCCTTTTCCCAGTCATCGATGGAGCCAGGTGCCCAGCCCTGGTACTTGGCCAAAGGAGAAAGAATACCCCAGCCAACTACAGCGCCTAAGAGCATATGTAGTGTCGTCTCGGGCCCCATAATAATACCCTGGCCAATGTAAGCTGGACTCGGGTTGAGCGTCCATAGCCATATTCCAGCCGCCTTGGACCCGAATATGGGAATGTTGCGAAGAGCGGGTAGGAAGTATGAGCAGAGGGTGTAGAAACCCGAAACCCCGAAGCAGACCAGCAAAAGTCTCATGTTCCCAGTCCAGTCCTGCTGAGAAACACCGTCTACGGAGACACTTTCAGGGTCGGCAACAGTCGCATTGTGACTTTGACTCGAGTCTGTCGCGAGATCGGCATCACGACCGGGGACGAGACTTGCAAAGCCGCCAGATACGGCGTCTTTTGACCCGCCTGGACCTGACTTTCGAGTCTGGCCGTGGAGCACGCCGATGAGCACTGCGGTACTAAAACCACTCGGGAAGCGCAGCCTCTCGCGTATGATCACCTGCCGTCTCCTGGCAATATTTAGCGGGCCGTCTATAAAAGGGCTGTACACATTCGATATGGTAGTTGCCTTACAGAGGAACAGCGAAGACGACGCCAAAGTAACAGAGGCCTAAAGACCAGATGATCAATCTCCAGAGACTGATGTTAAGCGGTCCTTGCTCATCGGCAGTGAGGAGATAGTTCATTGCGGGAATCTGCGTCAGTCAGCATGACCTCTCGAAACAAGGGAGTTGTAGGCGAGTTGGGCCACAGCCACATGGGATAAGCACATAGCCAGGTCCATGGCGGGATGATGGGAAGACATACGACACCAACAAAGCCGCATCCAAGCGGCATGATGGCCATACTTCCGGCGACGGTCTGGACAAGAACATTCTCGACGGGGCTGAAAGGAAATTTCAGATGACGTGCCAGAGCCTTGAATATACCGAAACCCATCAAACTGGCGGGCATGGTCATTGTGCTCACCCAGCCTGTCTGCAAGCCGAAATACATATTTGAGAAGCAAATGACTAGACCGACCAACAGACCAACAAGAACGCCACGAATCGTGAAGCTGCGCCCGTGAATAACCGGCGCTGGTTTGGGATCTTCGCGGTCAGCATTGCGACCCGGTGCGGCATCGATATCGTGGTCGTCGTTATGATTGTTGTTGTTGTCGTTCTCATCGTCATCGCGATAACCCCGGTCTGGTGCCATGGTGATATGGTACCCCCACTAGTCGATCGAGTGTATTTTGGGATTAGAAAGTTGGTTGAATTTGCGGAACGCCTCGCTTCGGGTCATAGAAAGCGTCAAAACCCCACGACGGTACCTTACGATGGCGTGTTAGACAACCAGGCAGGCAAACGACTCCGTCTCTGAGCGGCGAAATTCGATAAGGGAATGCTTGCGATGATGGCGATTGAGATTGAGGGAGGGGACAGAAACGTGTCGGCTTCGTTCCTGTGATGAGCCTTGGGGTAACTTCGCACTTACTGGATGGAGAGACCGGGCGACGACTGGTCGATCACGTAAGAGTCAAGTACGGTTAATAAACTCGCCCACGCATGGAAAACGCGATACGTTGAGGAAGCGGAGTCCCTATCCGTAATGAAATGCTTATCTTTCGGATCCCGTCTCCGTGTCGATTCGCAGTTCGGGGTTGATTCACGTCGCGACTCGCGAGAAGGACATCCTTGCCCTGCGATTATGCCCACAACGCTAGTCCCGTCCGGACCCGGCCCGGAGCAGCTCGGCAACCGCAAATGTGATGACGTGCGAGGGTGAGATGCTTACTAATATGTGATGTACAGTGATACTACAACGATAATACTGCCGTCTTGCGACTCTGCTACTTATTTGCGCAACATAGTCCGGGGCCAATGGAATCTCATCGCAGATAACAGGGCAATTAGGACTAGAATACCATTCACCCTCAACTCGGGCTACGTCCATTCGCCTCCACCAACGCTCCCGTCCGCTCATCCTCAGAAACCGAAGCTATCTAGCAGAGAGCTCGAATCAGGCTCCTGGAAGACTGTCGGTGTCGATGCCTTGCCCTTTTTGCCTCCTGACCTCATCTCCATGTGCAGGCTTGACATTGGAAGATCCGCAACTACCAGTGAACTGCGGCGCCGCAGCAGCTTCAGGGGATTAATTTCGCCGCCCAGACCGTTGCTGGAACTTGTTGCTGGTTTCAAAAACTCCCAGTTTCGAACTGCCAACCTGTCAATATGACATACGTCCTTATCTTTGTCGGAATCGACGTACCTAAGTCTAGACCCAGCAGATCACAGCCCATCCGGTCATAGAGCTTGGCGCTGTGAAGAACAAACTCCCACTCGACACGGGGAGTGACCTTGGATGCCCCTCGAAGTGTCTGAAGTGTTTTTTGTCGCAACTGGGAATACAATACCACTAACGCTGGATCATCCGTGAGGAACAGTTTTGACTGGAGGTCAGGAGTACACGGTGTCTCAACGAGGGTATAAACTGGCGACTGTAGAGAAAGGGGCAATTAGAACATGAATAAACCTCACTGGGAGCCGATCCACGGAGACTTACAATCAGCGCCCTCACAGCCATATCCTTACGATTCAACATCCAGAAAGCCCACGACGCGAGCCAGCGGTTGCCTTCTTTAGCAGCCACTGCAAGAATTTCTTCTTCCAAGAGCTTCCTCAAAACCGGTCCTTGGTCGCCCTCGTACACGCGAGCTATAGCAACGGCAAGCTGGATGTCCTTCAACTGTTTTAAACAGATGTTGACAGCATCCTGTAGATGATCCGCAAGCAAGAAGAACGCAGCGGCATATTCTGTCACGCACGTCAGTAACATATCGCGCAACGAAGCTTGTCCATGCAAATCCGTACCAAATCGACGTTTACTGAGCAATGCATATGCGTTCTTCAGAGCCTTAGTCCGCCACTCGGGGTCGTCAAAGTTGTTCGCGAGGAACCGTTGGGTAGCGGCCTGTTCGCGGTTTCCGTATGCCATACGCCAAAGGCCTTGGAGGATCGTCTTTTTCTTCAGGGCAAGATAGTATAAACTACAGTCGACGGGGTTCTTCGTGTCGCTCTTGGTGTATTCATTTCGCGCTACGTTTTCGAATTGTGTCCGCTGCAGTTGCTGTCAGCTAATGCTCTGTCGCCTGCTGATGCCCGAGCAAAGTTTACCAAGGCATTGTGGTCGCTCAGCCACATAAACATGCCGCTTTCTCTCGCGTCTTCCCAGCGAACGCTACCGTGACACTGCTTTGAGACAAAGTCGACTAGAATATCCTGGCTGATCGAGTGGTACGCCCAATTGATTTCTCGCCAAGACATCTGTATCTCGCTTGTACGCCCCTTTCGAAGCGCATGCTGCCGGAAAAAAAGCATGAAGCGTGCGCCGTTTTCGTCCAACGACCTACGCTGTTTCTCGACCATGCCGACGCATTCGATGATATCTGCTAGTTGTATTTGTTCATGCCCCGAGAGCTGCTGAAGGTCAACCTTGGTCAACCTTTCATTGATAGAGTATGCCACGTCTTCTGTGAAAGTCTCCTCTGCATCGTCGCCAGATGTTTGAAGACTAAAATGAGAACCAAGATGAGATTCAGATGCATGCATTGACGACGTCTTTCGTATATTAGCCTTCTTGCAATCGAAGAGCCCTCCGAAAAGCAGGTGACATACCTCGTTCTTGTAGAAGTCTGCGAGATCGAGACCAAGATAATCGTCAACTGTCTCATCTGCAACGTGAAACTTGAGTATTTTGAACAACGACATCAGTATCTTCCTAACCACTGCGTTTTTCCCCGCGAGAATACTCTGGCTGAGGAATTGCGGGTGGAAAACCGGCAGCGGACCGTTGAACCTCTGCACGGCGTCGAATAAGTCCCAGACACCATTCTTTCTATGCGGAAGCTGCAAGCTCTTCACCAGAGAGCCGGAAAGGTCATACGCTCTGTCGTGAACGAACATCTGGTTGCCGGACCCAATGACGAGGTACCCATCACCTAGCCAGGTAGAATCGCCGATCGGATGCGGTGTCAGCTCTCGAATGCTGATTTCCCGTACAGCGGCCCAAGCGGGTCCTTTGTTGAGATAGTCGAAACGCATCTGGCAGAGCAGAACGACCTTGGACTGGAACCCAACGGCCAGAATCGACTGTGAATCTGGCGTCGACGTCCAATCAAGGTCCTGAATGGTGTTATTTGTTCCATAGTTCTGCGTAAACTCAAGTCGGGCACCTCCAATGTCCCAGATAAAGAGCTGGGATCGTGTGGAATCGACCAGCGCTGCTTTCTTGAGAGTACTGCCGCTGACGAGTGCTGGCTCCGAAAGTCCCGTTTCTGCAGAGGACGTCGAAAGCCAACCCACGCGATCCTCTGTAGAGTCCACACGAGATGTCCAGAAGTCGACCCGTCCAGTGTGGGTATACGAAATGGCAATGTCCTTGGCGAAGACGTCGAGGAAGCCTGACGTGACAAGCGCAGACCCTGCAGGGTCAACAGGCAGCACGTAGGCAAGTCCCCGAATGCCCTCCAGCCGGAACCTACAAAATTCCCGAATCGAAGTTCCGGCTCGGCCATTGACGTGAGTTTCGGGCCCTTGCCGAGAGTATCTAGGTAGGTTAACCTCCCAAACTATGCCTTCCTGCTCCGAGGTGACGCTGGCAATATGAGCCACCGCATACTCCTCCAATCGCTGTCGAGGCAGTATCACCAAACACAGTGGCTTGCCAGACATCTCATATGACTGACGTTCCAGAAGAATGGCTCGTTGCCCTCGGCAATCCCACAAGCAGATGGTGTTGCGCTCCAGGAAAATGACAAAACGGCCCTTGCGGAGAACACAAATACGAAGGATTTGACCGCTTCCTGGAATGATGCTCTGTCGTGAAAGAGTCGACTTGCTGTTTTCGGCATGAGTCCAGACAATGCTCTCGCCTTCCGCCGTCCTGGAAACGACAGCGCGACCGCTGAAATTGCGGACCATCTTTTGGATAGGGGCCGAGTGTCCAGACCAGATGCAGTGCCGAGTCAGAGAGGGTTGCTTTGCAGAAGGGTTCAAGAAATCTACCAGGTCGGTTTCGTAGACTTGGATCTGGCCATCAAAGTCATGTATTAATACGTGCAGACGTCCCGTTCGACGGTCACAATAACTGTGCACCTCGGCGTGCTGCTCTGGCCGGAAGTCAAGGTATTGTGACTTGAAGCGTGATATGTTCGAGTTTCTGGATTTGCTGGTATTTGGCCCAACGTCTTCCAACGCAAAGACAACTGTGTCTCCGCCGCCGCTAGACGCAATGCATAGCTCAACGCTGTCATTGGCGAGGGATATCAGATGTTCGAGTGCGGTGTCCTGCTTTCCATTCTGTGAAGAACGACGCTGAACAGCCACTTCCGTGGCAGCAGACACTTCCCTACCATCGAGAACAAAAGCTATCAGTGGGGTTGCGGGATGCCTATTTGTGAGACTTTGATCTCGGAATGACGACGCCAAATCGATTGCCCCCCAGAGCTTGAGCTGCTGAGGAGCGTGAGTGTCAGACCCAGTCCAAACGCGAACCAGGTTGTCCGCACAAATGGTGTATAGCACATTCTCAACAGTTTGTTCAATGTGATACGGTTTCCGCCACCGAATGCTTGTTACAACATCCGGATGCCGCAAATAAGCCAAGTCGAAGCGAACCTCTTCAGCGCCATACGTCAAACGGCGCCAGGCTTTGACAAGGCGATCATGAAACCCAACCGATGCGATGTATCCCGAGTCGTAGGAGAGTTCGGCGAACTGTGAGGGGTTCGGCAGAGACTTTTTCCACACCTGGATCGTTTCGTTGCTCGTTAAGTACATGTAGAGAGCGGAATGAGCAACAAGGAGCTCCTCAGAAGCGCCCCAACTAAGAGAGGTGCCGTCGATGGCATTTTGAGATTCTGGGATCGGGAATGACGATTGAAGGCCCCACTAGCACAAACAGGACGCATCAGCAGGATTTCACACCAAATACTCAGGTGATGCAGAAGTCAGGAGACCCAGGCAGGTGTTTCACCAGGGCTCCGACAGACGGGACATACCTTTAACGCATCTTCTGATTGTCCAAAGGGCCTGTATACTCTGACCGTGGTATCGGTGCAAGTGGCAATCTTGCCTGTGGACTCGTCGAACGCAACAGCTTGCAAATGGGTCGGATCGTCGTCGTAGATGGTCTGGACAATGGTGTCCGAATCGCGGAGGATAGCCAAGGCACAGCCGGTAATGTAGATCTAAAGGTGAGGCCCAGATGTTAGCGCTTCGAGGGGCAGTAGTAGTGCGGACAGACAAAGATGTCAGTGGCTCACGTTGAAGTGCCTCGAATCCCAGAAGCCCGTCGCAAGAGCGTAGTGCCCAGACCTAGGCCTGCCTGGGAGGACTGCTCTCATCCTACTAGCATGAGGGTTATAGCAGCATTGCTCAAGCGGTCGTGTCGCAATACTCGTCCGTCGCCGACGCGGGTAGAGCTCGTGCGAAAAGGTGTGTCGAAGACGTCAATGCAGCAGCCGGCGTTATATTACGACTTCGATGAAGCGGGTTGCTAACAGTATCTGGAGTGGGACGGTTCAAGGAGGACGTTGAGAATGGTCGACGGTTTAATTACAGGTAATACTGCGTACCTAGGTAGGTAGGGTAGACGTATCTTCTAACCTTAGGTAGGTACCTTACCTACCTACCTACCCTTAGTTCTCAAAGCGGGTCTGGCGACGTACACACTCGGTCTCATCCAAAATGCGATAAGATAACGTTTGAAGAGCAATGACGCCAACTTGCAGGCCGATCTGAGCTCCTATAGCCTACCTCTACCTAAGTATGTTTTCCACTCATTGGCCGAACAGGCCTGGACTACCTCCTGCAAGCTTGCATGCCTGCTCCCAACATCCAACATGCCACCACCACCACACATGGTAGGTATGTCGTTGTTGAGCCTCAACTCATTGGGTATACTCGTAGTTATCTTTTCCAAGTCCAAACACAAAGATTAATATCCACAAGACATCATTTCATACAACCCGTGCCCCTGTTCATTCATTCGGCCGTCAGTCAGTTGGATCCCAACGCGCCATCATCTGCCCCTCGACCTAAGGGCCCGGGTCTGCCGTCGTTTGTCGTTCGCCGCGCATTCACCTCAGCTGCCGAGAGCCTCTGCGCCTGTGCAAAAGAGAGTTTACTCAACTGTCCGTTGGACGCCGGCGGCATACTTCTGTTGTAGCGTTCACGGAGCTCCCGCTCGAATGGTGTCGGCAAAGGAGCAAAAGGCGTCATAGATGGAAGCCTCACCGACGACGCCATGCCCGTCCACCGTGTCGGCGTGTTCACAACAACCCCGTCTGCATCGGCCGCTACTCCTCCCCCATCATGCTCCTCTTCTTCGACTGTTGGGCCGAACTCTTGCAGCCGAGAAGGTTTGAGTAACGCTGCGGGTCGATCGTGAACTGCTCTTGACAGCTGGAAAGAATTTCCATTGGACACGATTCCGGCGCCTCTCCGAGACGCACCGAGACTTGCCCTCATTGCGCTTGTCGGCTGTGACGAGCCCGTGCCTCTATCCCCTTTCCAGTGGAGGAGAAGTCTCCGCACGAGTTTCTTTCTGTTTCTTTCTCTAACATCCGAAGCAACGTACTCTCGGCTCTTGAGCTGGAGCAGAGTGGATTGCCACTGTCCCCAATACCGCGATTTCAGATTTTCTTCCCAGGCTCCCATTGAGCGACTCTGTACGCCATCATGGTCTCTAGACATGATGTGCCACTCGCTCAACCATGCATTCGTGAGGAGTCTGGAGGAGCCTCGGTCATTACAACTCTCATTTTGCCACGCGGTGAGAACGATGATGGCCCCGTTCCTTCCTATGGCATTGTTGTGCTTCGACACCTCCCAGTCGATATTTTCATGGACTCGAGCTGTTGACTTCCATCGGGTCATGTATTTCTTCGCGGTAGTCGCCTTGACATGCTGTCTGCATCGTGCATAAGCCTTTCGGGTATGAGACCTCCAGGTTCCCTTAGAACGCCAATTCTTCACCGCGGCGGTTACGCCAACGTAAAAACGACCGCGCTGCGACCACGTAGAAAGACTTCGTCCCTGGTGAACCTCGACTTGCCAGGAGTCCAGCACTCTTTGAGCTGCTTGATGCGCAGCAAATCGACGTGACCTCGTGCTGGTCCTTGCCGCTGTCGATGATTGTCTGTGCCAAACATCAAGAACCTTCGTCTTGAGCATTCTGTGCGAGATAGCCATTGGCGAGGTCGTGCTTAGCGCTGATCGTGACAGCAACTGGCCGGCCTGAGCATCTTGCCTCTTGGTGGTGCGTAGTCCGGTTTGAAAACCAGAAGGCGCAGATCGACACGCGCCATCCCACCTAGACAATGCGTTCCGTATGAGCTTAAATCCCATCTTGGCTCTGAAGACTTCAACCTTCGTCTCAAGCTGCCAGTGACTCAGAGAGTCACGAATAACGCCGAGCCGCCGGAACGCCGCTACACGAGTGTGACAATGCAGTATCTGATGGTGCCAAAGATTGGAGACCTGAGCTTTGGCGAAATTCTTACTGAGCTGTCCCACGTGAGCAGATAGCGCTTGAAAACTAGAGGCGGCACGCTGCCATTGCTGAAGACAGGCAGATATCAACCGAGGTTGACTGGGAACACCCGCCGGGGTCGGACATGAGCCGGACCAGGCTGCCAAAACCCTCTTGATGAGACTGCATTGGGCAATTGCTGACGCCTCGTTATCCATCACAACACATTCGTCAACTCGCCTGATCCACAGAGCTAGCAGGCGGGAGATAAATATGCGTCGCCCTTTTAGTTTGGCATCGGCTGTGACCAATTCCCATGGGTCAAAATGACGCATTCGCAAGATGTGTCTCCTGGCCACGGCGGTTCGTTCACGTTTCTCCATGGCGTAGGTTTCCCAGTGCGATAATCCTCTTAACAGCTGTAAGTAGCGGGCTGCTCTGGCCGTCCGTCTCTCCAACCAAGCGTATCGAGCTTCGGCCTCAGGATCTTCTTCCATCTCCTCATCAGCAGATACACCTCGTACGTCAAGTTCGGGCTCAGTTTCGGGGGGCTTCTCAGCTAGCTGCTGCTCGTTGTTTGTCGCTTCTTGGCCGAAGTCCTTTACATCGCTGCTAGAAAGCTCCTCAGCCTTCTGCCGCCTTCCAGCTGAACTATTCTCTTTATGTTGAATGGCATCGTGGTCCGGCACACTCCCAGCAGAAACCAGCTCCTGCTGATCCTGTTGGAATTGTGCATGTTGAATTTGATGCTCAATAACAGGAACATATGGAGGTTGATTAGGCTGCTGAGGGTGCTGGTACTCTCGGAACGGCTGTTGTTGCAGCTTGGGCTCATTGGCGTTCTCTTGCTGAGGGACAGCCTGCTGAGGCAGTACCTGCCAAATCTGAGGTAGCGAGTGGTACAAAGAATGCTGCTGCTGTGACACGCGCTGCTCCTGTTCAAGTTCTTCAACCTTCTGGTAGCTTTGATAAAGATGGGATGGCATAGATCGACCATCATGCTCGTTAGGAATGTGTTGCTGCTGCAAAAGCCGATGTTGGTATTGCTGAGACTGCTGGGGCTGCTTGTAGAGCTGGTACTGCTGTTGAGATGATTGGGATTGAGCGCGATGCTCAGTGGTAACAGATCCGTGTCCATTGCTAGGTTCGGTGTCGGCTGCATCTTCTGGTAGGAGCCAATTGACCGTCCGGACAGGCTTCGTCCGAACGGGTAGGGAAGAAGCCAAGTTCTCGTTCTCTTCTGGATAGGGGGCGACAGTATCAACCGGTCGAACCGTGGCGCCATTAGGCCCGCGGTTTCTGCTGGTGTCAACCCCGAGTTGAGAACTCTGGCGGGTTTGCTCCGTGCCGGCAGCCGTCGGCGGCGAGTAGCTTCGGGAAATGGGTTCTTCGCGTTGTTGGCCAGATCCATGGGCCGAGAGATTTGGTGCCAAGGCCGTGCGCGTCAGCCTAGGGGGACACGGATGACGGTCGGAATCGAATGACGCAGACGAGGACTTGTGGCGGTCTTCCTGAGGCAGCTGAAAATTTTCGGAAGACTCGTCTTCGGTGGTGACCGAGTCGTGACCGGCGTCAGAGAAAGGACGTGATGGTTGAGAAGCCATCTCGCGTTCTGCCTCATCGCACTGGTCTGAGACAGGCCTGGACCCATCACTTGGGTTGTCGAACTCGAGTTCGATGCCCATTCTCGACAAGACATTGTGAAGTTTTTCCAAGAGCGAGCCATCGCCGCGTTCGCCGCCGACCCGAAAGACGAGGCGCGATATGTGATGATCCTCCTCCGGATCGATCCCGTAGTTGGGGAGAACAGCGTCGTAGGCTTGGAAGAGGGCGTTCGTCGCCAGCCTTTCACCCTCGGGCAGATCGTCGAGATTATCCTGGGCGACAGCGACGACATCGTGGAGGACGCGGATTTCTATGGTGTGGTGTTAGTCGCGACGCGATCTGAATATGTTTCCGAGCCGCAGGCCATATGGCGCGTGGCAGAAGAGTTCCTTACCTGCATTACTGTAGTAAGAATCGGAACTTTGAACTGACGAAAAGCTGGATATGCCGTCGCGGGAAGCCAGCGCTGGGCGATGCGGCAGCGACGGCATGTGAACTGACGCCGGGCTGGGAGCATAATAAGGTGGTGGAGGCGGTGGTGATGGTTGCGGAGAAGAAGCAGGGGAGTGTTAGTGCCTTTTATGACGATGTTGTTGCCAATTGCAATAGAGGTGATGAGTGCCGAGTAGCAGTCTCCGAGCTACCGCAAAGTTTCAGGAAGCAAAATACGTATTATCGTATGCGATGTTCGACATGCATTCGGCCGCGACACAGTCCTCCCAAGAGGACAAGAGCTGTCTGCGCAAAAAAGAAAAGAAAAAGAAAAGGCGGAATAAGACTCGCGATGCCTAGTGAGGTTACGACAACAACCACAGCTTTCGCGCGTCGCAAAGACCTGCGAGACTTAGCGGCGAAGACACGGACAAAGGCACAGCCAGCCTACTGTGTCCATTGCATGGTGTCGACAATGCGGTCGAAGGCGGTGACAATCTGGAGATGTCAAAGACGGTGACAAAATTCGAGCACTAGAGTCTTTGAGTTGTTTTGGTAGGTCTTAGGTTGGGTAGGTTGGTAAGGCAGCCTGGTCAGGTTACCTTACTTACGGTGCCCACCTAAGGCACCTGTGGGCTTAGAGAGCCCCAACCTCCTGTGTTTTCGGAGGCGCGCACACCTCAGTTGACGGGGCTGCAGGGAGCACATCGAGATGCGACTGTGTCTTGATTGGTCAATTTACCTACCTACATTACGAAGGTTGTTCCTGGTCGCAGGCACAGTGCGTCCCGTCGCGGGTGCTTTGGCTGAAGTGTTCGCGTTAGTTACTGTCCTCTGGATATCTACATATACCTAGCTAGGAGCATCTCAAAATGTTTAAACGAATATTCGGCAAAATTTACGTCCACACTTCATTAGGTACCTACCTCAGCATGCCTGCTTGGTCGTCGGGTTGTCGTTGGCTCTTCAACCTCGTATGTTCGTTACTCTTCTGCAAACAAAGGTTGACAGCAAGCCCACCTGGACACAAAGTTTCTTCATTATGACCCGTACACGGCCTATCCAGAAGTTTGCCGCCGCAGTGTCACAATGCTCCGCTGAGGTTGGTTTGCCTTTCTATTTCTTAGCAAAGCCACTCAGCATCCGCTCGTTATTCCTGCCAGCAACCGCGACCTTGACCTCCTTCCATTGATACTGATGTACGATAGACCTCTCTGTATGGCAAGTGTATCGTCGCCGATTACAACTCAATTCACAAGGACAAGTGCGTCAAGGAGTTCCTGAGGTTGAAGGATTGTTATCTTGTAATTTGCCACCTACACCCACCCACCACACCTTGCTCTGCTACTTCACTAACACGCTTACAGGCTGCGGCTCGCAGAATGAAATGATCAAACATAGACTTGAATAGAAGATTTCACTTCAGTTTGTTCTTTCTATTCTCCTCAGACCTATCTACCACTCTAATGCAGAAGTCTGTTTAAGTAATGATACCACCATCTCGTGATCCTCTCATCTCACAACTCGAGCAACCGGAGCAGGAATGTTGCGTGCTGAATCTCTTGCTCCTCCTCCGCAATGATGCCCTTCTGCTTCTCGGTAGGGATCTCTCCCTCCACCTGCGTGACCTCGTGCTTGTCCATCGGTCTTCGCAGCGCCTTTTCGATGGCCTTGCTCTGCGTCTCAAATACCTCCTCGAGGCCGATCTTGTCGGGATCACTGAGGATCTTATACTCCATCTTGATGTCGTCCGTCGGCTGAAGCTGCGCCTTCTTCCTCAGGCGTTGGACACGGTTGATGATCTCCCGGGCGATACCTTCGTGCGCGAGGTCCACGTAAAGCTCGGCATCAAGGATGGTAAGCACATCATTGTCCGAGTTAGGCTCCAAGTTCTTGGAGGATTCATCCTCCCTCAATCCTCGCCTGACGACGAGGTCACCGTCCTCCAGCTTGATTCCATCGACCAGGATCTCCTTCGTTTCCGAGTACTCCTTGACGGCGTCGCTGCTGAGTGTCGGGAGCGCCTTCTTCACCCGCGCCATGTCCTTCTTGAGCTTCTTGCCCAGCACTGGCCAATCCGCTGTCACGCTATATTGGACGTTGTACTTGGCCTCGTCAGACGACAGGACAAGGTCTCTCACATTCATCTCTTCTCTGATGTAGGAAGAGAGAGACTCCAGGTCCTGAAGATACTGAGGATCACGGTGAATGACCACAAGCGTCTTCAGGGGTGTCTTCAGACCAATGGCTCTCCTCTCGCGAGAAACACGGACCAGGTCAATGACTTTTTGCATTCTGCCAACTCTGCGCTCCACCTCCTCATCGAAAAGCTCTTGGCGCACATCGGGGAAAGGGAGGAAGTGAACGCTACGTGCGTCCTCGGCTTCCGCCTCCTTGGGGATGTGTGGCCTCAGCTTCTGGTAAATGGTGTCGGTAATGAAGGGGGTGAAGGGAGCAAGGCCACGGCACAGTGTGAAGAGAACCTCGAACAGCGTGTTGAGCGCATGTTTGGTGTCTTCAACACCGTTCTCACCCTTAAGGCGTCTTCTGTTGAGTTTGATGTACCAGTTTGTAGTGTTCTCAATAAGGCCAAGGAGGCGCGGGACAACGGTGTACAAACGGTATGCTGAAAAAGAGCCAACGTGTTAGCCGGAGCACCATACATTGCCTGGGGGGCTGGACACTTACCCCTCATTTCGTCATTCACGAACTGAAGCAGACTCTGGCAACTGGCGAGGATCCATCGGTCCATGACGTTATCGTTACTCGCCTGGGTCTCGGGACTCCAGACGTAGTCGACGCCCTCGACCTTCTTGAGCAGCGAGACTTGGCCCTCGAAGAACTTATAGCTGTTCCAGAGAGGCAGCAGAACCTTTTGCACAACCTCCTTCACGCCGGGTTCCTTGAAGCGCAGTGGCTCAGCACGGACCACGGGAGAGTTGATGAGGTAAAGACGGAGAGCATCAGAACCGTACTTCTCCATGACGAGGTCTGGCGCCGGATAGTTCTTGAGGCGTTTCGACATCTTCTTGCCATCTTCAGCCAGGACTATGCCATTGACGACACAGTTCTGGAAAGGGATCTTTCCGAAAAGATGGGTGCCGAGGACAAGGAGAGTGTAGAACCAGCCTCTGGTTTGGTCAAGACCCTCGGCAATGAAGTCTCCAGGGAAGGATGCCTCGAACTTTTCGACGTTCTCGAATGGGTAGTGCTGACTAGCGTAAGGCATACTACCCGACTCAAACCAACAGTCGAAAACTTCCTCAACACGCTTCAATTGACCCTTGCCCATTTTACTGGGAATGGTAATGTGGTCAATGTTGTCGCGGTGGAGGTCGGAGAGGTCTCCCTCGTAGCCACTTAGCTCCTTCAATTCTTGTACGCTGCCAACACAAACTCGCTCCTCCATGTCGTCGCTCACCCATAAAGGGATGGGGGTGCCCCAGTAGCGGTTTCGAGAGACGTTCCAGTCACGGGCGTTCTCGATCCAGCTGGCGAAACGGCGCTCTTTGACGAAAGAAGGCACCCAGTGCGATCCCTTGATGTTCTCGAGCATCTGGGGAATGATCTCGGGGATGCGAACAAACCAGGAGGGCACAGCTCGGTAGATAAGAGGAGTGTCAGAACGGTAGCACATGGGGTATGAGTGCTTGAGCGAAGAGTCGACGACGATCCTTCCTGTACCCTTCAAGTGTTTGATGATGTGCTTGTCAGCCTCTTTGACGTGCATTCCGGCGAAGTCCGTAATACGCTGCCCAAAATGGCCCTTGTCATCGATGGGGTCCGGAGGCGGCCTGTTTTCGGTAATGATACCGGCAGCGAGGGCCACATTGTAATCGTCCTCACCAAAAGCCGGCGCCTGATGAACAATACCAGTACCGCTGTCGTCGGTGACGTAGGTAGCGTTCAGTACTCTGAAGGCGACGTCCTTGTACTCCTCGTAGAAATAGTTGAAGGGGGGCTCGTACTGCCAGCCGAGCATGTCTTTGCCCTTGATCTTCTCAAGAACCTTGTACTTGGCCTTCTTGGGGTCCTTGTACAAGGTGGTCAACAGCTTCTCAAGGATGATGTACTTCTTGCCAGACTTCTCATCGTGAATCTTCACGTACTCGAAGTCAGGATGGGCAGCAAGGCCGAGGTGAGAGGGCAGCGTCCAAGGGGTAGTTGTCCAGGCAAGCAGGTGAGTCTCCGGGTCGTCCCGGAGAGGGAAAGAGATTACAACGGCCGGATCAGTGACGTCCTGGTAGTTTTGGTTGGCCTCGAAGTTGCTCAAAGCCGTGGTCAGGGCGGTAGAGTAAGGCATGACGCGATGACCCTGGTAAACAGCTCCCTTGTCGAACAGTTGCTTGAACACCCACCACTCCGACTCCATGAAAGTAGGGTCCATAGTCTTGTAGTCGTTGTCGAAGTCGATCCAGCGGCCGAGTCTCTCAATGGTATGACGCCACTCTTCGCTGTAACGCATGACAATGGATCTGCACTCCTCGTTGTAGTTCTTCAAACCCAGCTTCATGACGGCAGCCTTGCCGGAAATACCCAGCTTCTTGTCGATCTCGTGTTCGATGGGAAGGCCGTGAGTGTCCCAGCCGAACCGTCTCTCGACATGGAAGCCTTTCATAGACCAGTATCTCGGGATGATGTCCTTGATGGTCGAGGCCAACAGGTGGCCGTAATGAGGAAGGCCAGTGGCGAAAGGAGGGCCATCGTAGAAGGTGTAAAGAGGCTTCCCTTGGGTCAACTCGAGCTGTGTTGGATGTTTGTCAGTACTGTGCACAAGATACTTTGACGCAAACCGTACGAGCATGGAAAACTAAAGGTGAGGGGCTAAGGCTAGATAGTCGTACCTGGCGCTCAAATGCCTTGATCTCGCGCCATCTCTTGATGATCTCAACCTCCTCCTTGGGAAAGTCGATGGACATGGTGGCAGACTCGGACGGAGCGCGACAGAAGCGCTAGCTATGTCGGACCGTGGGCAAACAAAAGATTTATGTCGGATTGTTTTCTGCGTAGGTGCTTGTATGTCGTCTTTGATGCACGGCGCTGGACTTTTGAAGACCGCTGTGCTGACTGGAGTCGTAGAACGCAGCGAGGCTCAAGTGACTCTTCAGGTGAGTTAAGAGAAGGCAAAGTTGAAGTTGAGTCTTTGATGTGTGACAGTTATTTGGAGGGGTCGTTTTGGTGGGCAAGTGAGTCAGTGGGGTAATTTTTCTAATTGACTTATTTACAGCCAGCGCGGGGCAATCAGACTCTCTGGTCCTCAGGTCGGGCTCGCTGCTGGTGGATGTGCCTGGGTATGGGATGACCTGCTGGATGAGGGGTTTTGCTTACCTAAGCCGGCATTTCGAGGCCAGTTGCACATCCAGGGCCTTAAGCAGTACTGTATCCCCCTGACAGATTGTTAGCGGGGTACTTCGAACCTGCTAGTGTTGGGCGGTCGCCTGGGCTTTGGCACTAACAAATTCTGGTGCCTGTTCCCTGACCAGAAAATCATGGGGCTGTAGAGAGGTCCCGAGTTTACAATGGAGTCATCCAATTCGAGGTGTGTATTGTATAGGTACCTACCTAGATGGTAGGGCGCTGTTGCGGTAACGCCTTATCTATGGCTTAGGTAGCACGGTAGGTAAGGTCATGTAGGTAAGTAAGATTTCCACTAAGCCCGTATGGATGGATTTCATTCCACGTTGTCTACGGCACCGACCTTACCTAGGTACCTATAGGTAGGTACGTAGGTAAGGTAGCAGTACCTCACCTCGGTCTCTACCTGACCTTGAGGCACGGTGGTTCTACCTTAGGTACGCACCCAAGCAACGCCTCGTCCGGCTGGCAGCTCTCAATCATCATCATAAACAAACCGACCTGGCCTGACGCCACTCAGTGTCACTCACTTCTTTCCCACAATACCTAGGTTTCCTACCGACAGTTCACGATACCCTCGGTAACACAACTTCGCGTCCTGCTAGGCTCGCCAGAGCTCGTGCCGATTTCCGCACCTAAGCGCCCTCGATTTCGCGCGCCGTCTGTCGACATCGCCCCTTGCACAACTTTCGTCCAACAAACCGAGCGCTGCCCGTCGAGCCAATTCTAGCACGCTTCAGCCAACTGATTCGCCTGTTGCAGAATCTCCGGAATTCGTCTCACTGCGCGGTCAACGATCAACTGCGATCCAACTCCGAGTCCTTATTCTTGGCAACCTCAAACCATGTCCTTCCTCTTTGGCCGGGCCAGAACCAGGCCAGCCGTTGATCTGCCCAAGCAAGCGAGGGACCATGTGACAAAGCTTGAAGGACCAAACGGGCCTGTCAAGGTTGGCCTTTCTTTCGTGCTTTCGAATCATAGCGCTTCTAATCAGTCTTCTGACCTAGGCCGAAGAGCTCGCCAAAGTCTTGAGCCAGATGAAGTTCATCCTACAAGGGACGCAGGGTGAGTCTCTCCTCTTGACCGCAAGTCGACACCGTCCGAACCCACGGCGACTAACTTCGATGTAGAGGCCGATAGTAGCCCCGAACAAATATATCAACTCGTCACAGGCCTGATCGAGGAAGATCTCCTCTACCTGCTCGCTGTTAACCTGTGGCGTCTACCCTTCGAATCCCGCAAAGATACCCAGGTCATCTTTTCTTACATCTTCCGCTTCCGACCAACTACTGCCTCACCTAAGAGTGATCCTCTTGCTCTGTCATACGTGGTAAACAATCGTCCACAAGTCCTGCTCGAGCTTTGCCGAGGTTATGAGCACAAAGAAAGCGCGACGCCCGCCGGTTCTGTCCTTCGAGAAGTTCTAAAATCAGAGGCAGCCGCCGCCATAATTCTGTACGACGACAACGAGGAATCTGGATCCAGCAATAAGGGTATCAACTTGATCGACAGAGATCGTCAGCAGAGCGGGGAGGGTGTCTTTTGGAGGTTCTTTGACTGGGTGGACAAAAGCTCGTTTGAAGTGGCGGCGGACGCCTTCACCACCTTCAGGGTAAGGACATCCGACAGGACCGTTCGTTCCATACGCATATATCTGACTTGCCCTCAGGAACTTCTCACAAAACACAAGGAGTTGGTTCCTAGATACTTGTCCGTAAACTTTGACCTGTTCTTCGACAAGTATAACAACATCCTTGTGCAGTCCAACAGTTATGTCACCAAGCGACAGTCTATCAAGCTACTGGGCGAGATTTTGCTGGACCGCTCAAACTACAGCGTTATGACCGCCTATGTGGACCGCGGAGAGCATCTCAAGATCTGCATGAACCTTTTGCGGGACGACCGCAAAATGGTTCAGTACGAAGGCTTCCATGTCTTCAAGGTCTTCGTCGCCAATCCGCATAAAAGCATCGCTGTACAAAAAATTCTTCTCATGAACCGAGAAAAGCTGCTTACGTTTCTGTCTCATTTCTTGGAGGATCGGACAGACGATGAACAATTCATCGATGAAAGGGAGTTCTTGATTAAGCAGATTAGAAACATGCCGCCAAATCCAGTGGCATCTCAGAGGCATGGTATGCCAGCTAGTTGATTTTCCCGCGCCGGGGGGAGGGGGCAGCATGGGAGTGGATGGTATGACCGGGTAATATCAAAAGCAGACAACCGGTTCGATGTTGTGATGTTGTATTGACGGAACATGCATTTGCGTCCGGCGTTAATGATAGGGCGATTTCAAGGCATTAGACATGAATATCATGTTAGTAACACCACCTCCTTGCATCAATGTAGTAGTGATTCTGGTCTGCCGGTTGACGTCAAGGACCAGGTTAACATTGGGTGGTTTTCTTCCTATCAGTTCTTTGCCATCCATGCCGTCGCCTCATCCTTGTAATCCTCACGCCACCTACTCAGCGGGGGACGGCCGTTGACAATATCCCCAGCACTCCAAAGGATCCTCTTACGGTCCATGTCCTCAGTCACCTCGTTATCAGGGCATATGATGTAAAATTGGCCGGTCTCCATCTTCTGTCCCAAGTACTCGGCGACCTGTTCAGGGGTCCAGGCGGCTGCCGGTTTCTCCTTGAAGTGATTTGCACCGGCGAGCCCGGTGAACGTCCAGCCCGGGACAAGAAGGTGGACCGACGTAGCCGTGTCCTTCAAGTCGTGTGACAAATGCTCAGCGAGGGTCTTGACGGCCGCCTTGCTGGCATTATAGGCCGGATTTCCTGGTGGGTTAGTGATACCTTGTTTGGAGCCCGTAATTACGACAGCCGATTGGGAAGATTGACCGTTGCCCACAAGAGGTAGCAGAGTGCTGATGCCGTTGATGACGCCGAAAAGATTAGTGTCGAGTATGCGGTGAAAGCTGCTCACGTCCTCCCAGCCGGACTTGCCTCCAACACCGGCATTCAGGACCAACAAGTCAATTCGGCCTTGGTATTCACAAACAAGTCAGCTCATAACCCTAGAATACAGTCAAACACTGCCTTCCTGCATCTACAGTGTCAGGAAAGACGGCGAGCGGAAATAATCAAACGGACAAACCTCCGAATACAGCGTCGATCTCTGCCTTTAACTTGCCCCAGTCCCGCAAGATGCTGACGTCCAGTTCAAAGGTGGTAACATCTCCCTTCAAATCGGACTTGGCTGCGTCGAGAAGCTGAGCATCGCGATCGACGATGATGACCTTCATCCTGTGGTGGAGACATTTCCGGGCGATGGCTAGGCCGATACCAGAGCCGCCACCAGTGATAACGGCTGTGTTCGGGGAGGCGAAGATGGACGACATGTTTGTGATATTTATTTGGATTCTGGAACCGATTCAAACGGTGTCAAACCCTCCAAGAAGTAGAAGCAGCTGTAGTAGGATGAATCTTTGTCCAGTTCCCTGACGCTGGACGATCTCAGTGACCCGAGTTAATGATATATATACCTACGTCAATCTCTCGGATGCCGTCACTGTCCGGCCTTCATTTGCGGGGCGGACGCCGCAACGGACTTTAGCTCGTCGGACTTGGCCCTTATCGCCGCACCCAAACAGTCAATTGCGCTCTCAAAGTTGAACCTCTATTGGGATTTGTTTTGGCTATGCAGACCCAAGCTCCCCGTGGTTGTAAGGTGTTGTTGTTTTTCTTGGCTATACCGCGTATGAAAGCAAACCAACCTCAGCCTTATGCGCCCCAATTTCCCGTCTCATGCCCATTCGACGAAAACCGTCGCTCCTGAACCGATTGCATTTCACCTCAACACAACACAAAATAAAACCGCGTGCACCACTGCGCCCGTCAGCGAGAGGTCTGGGTTGGCTGCTTAGCCAGCATAACATTAACACTCTCGCGGGCATTTGAGGATGACCAGACACTATCCTTCCCGCCGCGCCGCCAGTCGTCACCTGTGGCATCTTCCCCGCCTCCTCTTGTGGCCTCTCCCATGATAACCTCCAGATCCCGCTTCTGGGAGCTCATCCAATTTCTCACGAAATTGGCAGGATCTTGGCTCATCGACATAAAGAATGAATGCTTGGCCTTGGAACTGGCAATGGCTGCTACCAGCGTTGCCAGTTGCTCATCCATATTGGCGACCTCCTTCAGGGTGCCGGCATACGCTGGGTTGGTCACGAATGGCAGAAGCTTCGAACGCAGAGGATCGTCAACTGCAATGCGGACGTCGTAGACTGTCGGTTGAGGGTCTTTGTGGAATTCCTCGTCAACACGAACCGTATATGGTATGCTGACTGAGGACAGCGGTCGCAGGTGGGGTTGAATATAATCGTTAAGATTGGGAATCATACCCACGTCGTTGCCGTTGACAATCTGGGGGCCAATCGAATCAGCATCATGTTTGTTACCAGTTTGCGAAAACATACCTTCCTGAGAAGCTCATCGCAGCGGAAGTTGCGCTTCTCCTCATCTTCCTGGAGACCCATCATCTTGATGTACTCCCATACAGCGAGTACGGCCTCTTGTCTAGATGCCTCTGTCATGTCAACGATGTCTGCCAGCTCAGGGCTCAGGAGATATCGCTCTGGATCTTCCTGGCGATGCAGGTTGATGGTTATGTTCATATTCTCGTCTCCGCTCCGTTTAAAGGTGAACTCGTCGAAATCAGCGCCAGCCGCTGCGTTCTGACCTGGCTGCTTCTTCCATTCCACAGTCTGGTCCGAGGCAGCTCGTGAGCGACTGCGATCGAATTCGACATTGAGAGCCTTTAAAAAATGGGAAAATCGATGTTTCTGGGGCGCGGGAGCGGGAGCGGAGCTTGGGCGTCTCGAGCTGGGGGCGCCGTCCTCGTCCATGCGATCCGGGTTCTGAGGCGCGTCCTCTGAAGATTCGTCTTGGCCATCCTCGAGAAGACGACCTTCGATCTTGACGCGGTAGGAAGGCTCGGCGCTCGGAGTAAAATCGAAGCTGTCGACACTGAGTCCGCTACCTTGCCACGCTTGATCCTCGACGGTGTTGCTTATCCAGACACGGAGGGTCTTGTAACGCTGCAGTTGGTAGACATATTAGTCAAAAAGGGGGGGAAGGCACGACTTAAAATGAGGCGGAGAACCGCGTCGAAAACAACTGACCTTGGCATTGCGACCGACGGCCTCGACAATGTCCAGGCGTTTGCGCGTCATGGTTGCATCCAGACGGCGTTCAAAGTCGCGTAGCTCCTTGTACCGCTGGGCGACTTCGGAATCGATGATGCAGTCCTCCACGCCATCAGGGAGTGTCTTGTCGGTTGGCTTCCGACTGCGGCGCTTAGCCAGCTCGCTCGTAAGAGCTTGTCCGGGAGGATGGTGTTGCGCCATGGCAGCCTGATTCATGGCTGCTTGTGAGTGGTGTCCCGGAGGCATGATGGGGCCTTGAGTGTGCACGTCAGCTAACTTAAGCTCGTCGCAGCTGGGGCAAGAGAATGGCACGCAGGGCAGGCGAAGGGGCGCGTCGACGGGGACGGAAGTGGCTAAAGAGGAAGAACGGGCATACCGATGCCGCCTCTCCGTTGATTTGGGGCATGTGGAGCCCGCTGGGGAACTTGCGGTGCGCCAGCATGGCCAGCATATTGGCGATATTGAGGCTGCATTTTGGCAATGGCTCAAAATAAGGCGAGAAAAAAGCTAAAGGAACCAGGAGACAGATGAACTCGGAGGGTTCGAATGTGACGGCGACGATGCGATGCAGTTTTTAAGAAGTCGCGTCGTTTGTCGCATCAGGGCGCGTGTGCAAAAGTAAATGGCTGAGCGGCACAGCCGTACCTAGGTACCTTAAGGTAAACGCACATCCCCTGCTGCAGCTGTTGATAATGATTGGTTGCTTAAGCTGAGTCTTGTGATAGACCCACTCTCCTGCTTCGGCCAGTCATACCTTACCTACTGGCACCGCCAGTCAGAACCGACGTCTGGGCTACCTTACTTGGTGAAGTCGGTTCAATGTTCAACATCATCATATGTACATGAGTTAGCGAGTTCAACAACGGCCACATTGTCAATAACGAGCATGAAACCCCTAAACATGCGAGCGAAAGTTTTCATGTGAGTGTATGTATATATATATTGAGTTCTTTTGAGTTCTTTCACCCCGGGGCTTGATATTGCTCGACGATCCCTATGAACCTCAAACTCCCAGTAGTAAGAAGACCTCCGTGGTTCATGAATGCTTTCACCCAGCGAAGAATATCGCAAAACCCTCATGCAAGAGGTCAATCGTCGAGTAGTAGTGCATAGCCGACGGTACGCCACGCTTTCGAATGCTGACTTCCAATCCCAAACCCATCGAATTACTAGCTTTATCATGAGCTCACTTCCGTTTGCTCTGTTGGACACCAATGCCTGTCCCCCTCTGAGATATTTCTCATGATCTGGAACATGCGATAGCATCGTATTTATGCGCATCAGAACTGCGCTCCCAATCCGTTTTTGGACTGTCGTTTGCTAAACCGGTTACGCTTTGTGGAAGACGTGTCTTCCAGACTGGCCTGGCTTTTACTGAGGTGATTTCGGCCGGACCGATCGCTGACGCTGTAGCTGTCGGGATAGGCTCCTCGTCCACCTAATGTGCTTGCCGGACTTGACACTGCCGACGACATGTCGGCAAACCCATTCTCGCCTCCGTAAGTACCGACGAGGTTCTGAGAAATCGCCAGCTCTTTGGCTCTCTCCAAAGATTCGATCCACTCGTCGGCTGTCGAGCCGTTTTCGGACGAATTTGAGCTGCCCTTGGGCTCTTCAAATGTGTAGTGGACGCCACCCTGTCGGATTTTAGATGAGCGGCGAGACCTTTTGTCCAGGATACTTACCGCATCAACACACCAAACTGTCTGCCCTTTCACATCAAGTTGCGTTTTCCACGAACACTCGGGTGCAAGCAGCGATATCTCCTGCTTCGCGCGTTTTTCGTCTCCGCCAGCTGGCGCGAGCAGTATCCGACCACTCGAGGTTACCATAACCAATCGCTGCCTCTTCTTGGTAGTGCTGCCGCCGAAGAATCTCGACAGCTTCTTGTGCCCCTCATGCTCACCCCCCTTGCCATGTCCATTTGGCAGCGGGCTCGAGACGACCAGCAAATCACCCAGCTTCAGAATTCTTTCATTGTTTCGTGTGAGAACCGGAGACCATTCAATATCCAACTGTGTCGGAGGCGGTAGCTCTGTGATGATCCTGGCTGGCCGGGAGCTCCCATTCATGGCTGTGTTCTGCGGCGGTTGTGAGCTTCTCGCGGGGGCAACAGGATTCGGACTGCCAGCCACGCCGTTCAGTTGGATCACGGTCGGTTCCTGCGGTGCCGGATTATAAGGTCTGAGACGCGGGGCCTTACTTCTCCACAACCCTTTACCGAACAGCTGACCGTCGAAGAATTCATGGTTCTTGATGTGTTCGACTGTAAGACGTCGTGCGGGGTCCAGAACCAGGCACCTTTCGACCAAGTCCCGCGCAGCTGGAGGAAATCCGCTAGGGAAGTCGTACTCGAGGTTGACAATCTTTTGGAATGTGAGATACTCCGTTCCTGCCTTGAAAGGCGGACGGCCGGCAAGCAGCTGATATACTATACAGCCAAATGCCCAGAGATCGCTCGCCTTGCAGGCGTTTTTGCTTGTGAGCAGCTCAGGGCTGACATACTCAGCTGTTCCCACGAACGATGCCGCTCGACTATCGTCCTCGTCGTCACCACGGCTAGCATCTGGCAGCCCCCTTGTCCCCTCGTTGGCGTTTTGTGCTTCCCTGGGATCCTTGAGCAGCTTCGCAGTGCCGAAGTCGGTGATCTTGACATGCATGTGATCGTCTAGGAGCACGTTTTCGGGCTTCAAGTCTCGGTGGATGACGCCTCTCGAGTGCATGTAGTCAATTGCGTCCAGGATCTGGGCGCTGTAAAATCGTGTGCACTCCACGTCGAATGTGCCTGTCTTCTTGAGCACGCCCAGCAGCTCGCCGCCGTTACAGAGATCGAGGACGTAGTAGAGCGAAGCCTCGTCTTGAAAAGTGTAGTAAAGTCGTACAATGCCGGGGTGTTCGGTGAGCCGGTTCAAGGTGTTCTTCTCAATGTTGACGTATTTGATCTTCTTTTCCTTGATGATGTGCTTTTTCTCCAGTACTTTGATGGCGTATTCTTTCAGCGTCTGTCGATCAGTGGCTAAATAGACCGTACTGTACGAGCCCTCGCCGAGTATTCTGCCAAAACTGAAGTCCCTAACCCCCTTTTTGACGTGCCGAATGACCGTCTTTCCGCTCGCATCCGTCTCTCTCCTTACGCCGACAGCAGCGCCACGATCCTTCCACTCCTCGCTGCTAGTGGGCAGAGGCATCTCGGGACCGTAGGGGTCTCGCGAAGGAGGCGGGGCTGCAGATGCTGAGACGTATCCACCACCCATGCCTTTGGAGCTTCTTCGTGGCGGCAACGGTCCGGAGCTAGGAGGCAGCTGTGATTGACGAGCCAGGTTCGCAGACCTGTGGCTTGGCTCTCGTGTGGGGATCGATGGCGAATAGCCTGAGCCATTGGCAGAATCCTGCCTTGCAAGCAGGCCGTAGACCGAGGATCGCGAGCGTTCGTTTTGTAGCGGGACTTGGTGTTGCAACGCGCGTCCATCCTCGGGAGCAATGGGGGAATGGCCGTACATGCCAGAGACTGGGCGGGCTGTTGGGGATGTCGAAGACCGACTGCCTGGGGCTCTCTCACACTCCGAGTATGATATTGCAGGCTGACGATAAACGTCTGCTCGCACAGCAGCGCTGGGACTCGTTCGGTGCGGTTCGACGTGTGCGGATGAGGCGTCTTGGGCGGGGTCAGTACTCTCGGGAGACTGGGTGTGGGAGACTGGTGATAGAAGACTGTCTGACGTCGGGGTCGAGGCATATGGAGTTGTGGTTTTTTGGGTACTAGGATCTTCGAGATGTGCTAGATGAGAATCGGATTGGTTGTCCGTACGGGGGAAAGCGTCGCCATCTTGATGGTTATTCGGGGACGAGTCGTCTGGATTGGCTATTCGTAATCCTCCGAGGGCCCTCGATAGACTGAGGTCCCCATTCATGATTCGTGTTCGTGTGCGAACAGTGTGAAGGGATGAGAGGAAGGGTCGAGGAGGAGATAGATGAAGACGACGCGAAAAGGAGGATGATGAGTGAGAAAATCAGGATTAACGAATGGATCCGGATACCTCGTGTGATGGGCGCAGGTGGTGAGGCCAGGTCAGGTACTGTAGGTACAAAGCGGCGCAGCACAGTAAAAACGGATAAGAGAAGAAAGGTTGTCGGCCAGGAAGGCAGTTGACCACCAACAAGTTGGGTTTGGGTGGTCCGGCCGTGTCGGGCTTGTAGGTACCTACCTTACCTTAGGTGGTTGGAGGAGGCCAGGTGTGTAGGTAGGTACCTTACCTTCCATTACCTAAAGGTGCCTTGGGCGCCTTCCACTGATACAGCAATTGGGTGCTTAAGTAAGGTCCTAATGTAGGGTGCCTTGTTAGGGGCAAGGTGTTTTGGTGGAATCCAATGCTTACTTGGTAGGTAGGTCGTCAGGTATTGTGAGGTATTACCTGACATTAGGCACCTTAGCTCAAGACATCACCTCACGCTTAGAGTCGCTGCAGGTCTATATTCACCAGTGTCACCCGAAGTTTCCCACGGCGGTAACAATCTGTTCGGCAGACGCGACAGCCGCATGGGCAGTGCGCGATGGACGGGAAGCAGCCATGGGACGAAGCCGTGTGGGATCGCGACTCCTCGACTCCTTCCTCGTCTACGGCTCGGACAAATGGAGTATGCCTGCACCTGCCTTCGTAAAAGGAGCCTCTCCTGCTTTGATGGGAAAATGTCTTCCAAACGCGCCTTGAAAATGACGGCTGAACCGCGCAGCTAAAGCGGCGGAACAGCTTTTCATCTCCAGTCTGAGTCTGATTCGACCACCGACCGAGCCGATATGCTGCGACTCAAGCCCACGGTCATCCACCTGACGATGGCTGAGGTCAACGAGCATGACCGACCGCGAAGAAAAGAGTGCCGACTGTCATGCGATAGCCGCGTTTTGAGGCCCAGCCGGATGGCGCAATTGACAACCCAGTACCGCCAGTTCCAGTACAATGACTCTCATGGCCCCGCGCCACCTCTCCTTCAACTCGGCACGGCTCCAAGGCCAAGCCTGGGAGATCTGAGTGCCAGCACAGTCAATGCCGACGTACAGGATGAAAAGACAAGCATTGCTTCAAGTGAGGAGGTCGACCGGACCGAAGAATGGCATTCTGCCCTTGAACGTGAGGAAGGCCCGTCCAGTCCGGATTTCCCACTGCCAATGCCTGCCCGTTCCACAGCGCGGGACTTGATGCCCGCAAGTTTCTCCGAACATGTCTGGTGGCCCAATTTGCCCAACAACTCTGGCTACTGGCTAACTCAAACCTCAGGTTCAACTCTCGAGAGAATTGGAACAGAGCGGAGCAAGTCGCACTGATGTCTCACGCACAGTCCCGTTCACTCCGCGGCGGAAAGGATACTCCATCACCGCTGTGCAGGATGAGGGGTTCGAAGGTCGTACGGTGCGAACCGCACAACTAGAAGGTGCTCCAGCAGCCCGAAAGCTCAATGTATACGATGACTCGGTCACGGCGATAGCCCAACCGCAGACGCCAAGGGACTTGCCGGGAGCCCGCCATCAAAGTCAACTACAGGGGTCATATACGGCGCACTCGTCCCAGAGAACAGCGACTCCTGCGTCGACTCGGCACCAACATCGGAGGGCCGCAAGTCCAACCGGCATGCGCCACGGCGGCATGGAGAATGCGGACGAAGCCGTCTTGTTCGATGCGGCAATCCGGCGTCGCTAGGAATCAGAGCACCGGGACGGCCAAGCTAACAGGCATGACTCGGCATAGCAGGATCCGAAGCTGGCCGCGGCGAAAGTGGCGACACGTAAAACAGCAAGCTCAGGAGTATTATATTTCTCGAGGCACCGTCCGTAGTTCTCAGTCGGTGATTGAAAGGTGAGGAAAGTGTTTGTCGAACAGCTTTACTGTGTACTCGGGCCTGTAAGCAATATACGTAGTCACGGCAACTGGGTGTGGTTTGGCGGTTATCCGTATTAGAGGAATGTTAGATCAAAGCTCATTCAGGCTTTAATACTCCGGGTTGTTTCTTTCAGGCCAGTAGGAAAGTGCATATGTTCATTTCGCCTCACTGTTACGCTGGTAGTTGATATTCGACGACCAAGGAACAGTCCAGTCCAGCCAGGCTCTCACACCGGACGGAATCCGAGTCACCTGATTTATGTCGTCGGATCAATGCCTGGACTTGACTGGAACTAATAAAATTGGCGACCTGTTTGCCCGGGCCCGGTCCGGGTATATTCTTCCGTTCCTAGCATCACGTGGCTCTACGTAGTTCGGGGCTGTCTTACATCGTCCTTAGGTAAGTGAGATGGGGATGAAAGTGATGTCTCAGGCAGGAAGATGACTTTTGCGCCTTGGTATTCAGGTTAAGGCACCTTCTATGCCCCAGGAAAGCTGAGGCATCAATCTGGAGTGGAGACTGGAACCTTAGCCGGATGATGGAATTGCGTCCTGCCCGCACTACCCCGAGCAGATCACCTGCAGCACAGATGGATCATGGACCTAAGGAGTGTCCGCCTTATTCAACGGGAGCTGAAAAGCCGGTCGCCGTGGTTAGCGAGCCCCACCTGCCCGGTTTGCCCAATTGGAAAGCGGGGTGGGGACCAAAGAGATGCACCTGGGTTTCCAGGCAAAAACGATGAATCAGTGAATACCTTCCATCCTTCCTGGCACTGGATCGCAAAGTACCGTTGCAGCTAAAGTCGAGCGAGTGTTACCTGAAGGTACCTTACCTACCCTTGGTGGTTGGTTGGCTGGCTGACGGACTGGCGACCCCACCGACACGGTGTTTGTATGGCCGGAACTCGAAGGCACGACACGACGGCCGCAGCTGCAGCAACCGCGGCCACCAATCTGCCCAGCAAGCCCCGATTTGGTAAGGTACCTGCCTACCTGAGGCACCTACCTAAGTAAGGACAGGAAACGAATGACATGGGGTCCACGACCTGAGCGCAAGAGGTGCGCCGCCCACGGTACGTAACTCTGACACTGACAACCACTAACTTTGTGGAAGTGGCTAAACAACAGGTGGATACTTCGTTACCAGCCTCTTTCCCCTAACTTGCGTGCTTGTCCGGGTAGTCCTGAGACGACATAAAGTACCTAGTAGCGTGTCAAGATACTAAAGGTTCCTGCTGGGCTGTCCTGGCAAGCCATGGGAATGGGTACGTACTGGGCAGGGGCATCTTTTGGTGGTCACCTCACTCAAGACGGGAGGCTCCAGGTCCCGTCTCTCTCGGGCTCCTCTCCGCAGCGCCAGCGTCAGCGCGCGAGCAGCGACACGGCGACAACTTGCGACGGGGAACTGGGGTGCAAAGGCTCTCGAGGCGCCTTCCCCTTGTCTTCCACACTCCAACCTTTTTTTTTCCTGCTGACCCTGTGCTGTATCCGTACCTGTCCTTGTCCTCCATGTCTTTCGCTCCCGTCGTCTATTACTGACCTCGCGTTTTCCTTCCGTCTCTCAATTGGCCATACTGCAGGATACAAAAAGGATAGCTCTGTCTACACCTGCCCACCCTTCACCTTCCTTCCCCCTTCTTAGCTCAACCGGTTCATCCATCCTCTCGCGTCTTGTCTCGTATCGTCCCGTCTAAGGTAGTCTCTTCCGACAACCTCGTTCCTGCCTCTCTTACAACCTCTTGACCCTTCCTCATATCTCAATTCATGCCCATTAAACCTCACCACTGCCGTCACACTGCCTGAGCCGTTGTCATCATCATTGAGGCTTCCATCGTCCGGCCCTACCTCACTGGCAAAAATCGTCCTTGCGCCATCTACATACTCTACAGCCGAACTGGGCTTCCAACCATTGCCCGCTCTCGAACTAGCCTTGCCATTCCACGTCGATTTTGTCTCGCCCGGCCGTCAACAACAACCAGACCACTGCCGGCCTTTCACCTCGCCAAATCAACTATACCACCTCACACCCGCCATATCACAATCATTCGCTGCCTGCTATTACTTTCTGGACGGCTACCAGGCATCTACTAACCCTTCCTGATGCGTAGAAGAGCTACCTAAAGCATACATCTAAACTTACCTTACAACACAGGTCTAACACAGCAGCGATGTCCTTCGGTCGATCTTTCTCGTCTGCCTCCCCCGTCATGGCCCTTCCACCTCAACCCGCCCACCAAGCGAGCTTCGGCATGGAGTCGTACGCCTCCCAATCTGCGCCGTTCGGCCACGCTGCGGCCTTCCAACGCTGCGTCGCGCCTGCCGCGGCACCCTCCGGGAACTTGAGAGTTGCCGGCCGCAAACGCTCGCGCGATGAGGCCGCCCCCAACCTTGTCGCGGACGAGCCCGAGCCTCACGCTGAACCTAAAGATCTCGAGGAAGAGTGGGAGTATGGTCCTGGCATGGTACTCATCAAGAAGGGCGGTTATGTCGCCGACGCAAGCAGTCAGTCCGGCACGTGGGTCGAAGAGAAGGCCGCAGAGGATGAAGCTCGCAGAACCAAGGAGGCAATCACGCGTCTCCACGAGCAGCAACAAAGACCGTCTCTACGCAGCAACAAGTCTCAACGTCTGACCCAAAACGACATGCCCAGTTTTGACATAGTCAGCCAACCTGTCAGCAGTGCTCCCAGCACTGCGCCTCCCCCTCTCGAGAACTCGGCACAGCCCGTCGTCGACCAATTCACCCTACATCTCGGTATCGGCTGGAGGCGCGTCAGCGAGGATCATCACATTCAAGCCGCTGCTCGTGGATGGGCTCGGTACATCGAAAACCATTACCCCGTTTCATCCGCCATCATTCGCCTTGAAAGCAAGGGACTTCAATCATATCTAGTCGAAGCTGCCGAGGGCTTCTTTCTCTTCTCGGAAGACCTGCGGCAGGGGCGTCTTGTCAGTAAGGACGCAGAGGGCGCGCTCAGGAATCTGAAGTGTTGCCCCCCGGCGTTTGACGGTTCCGAGACCCTCGCTGCTACCGAATCGCCATCAGCAAACGGTCCACCTAACTTGGCACTGGTAACGGAGGCCGATAGCCATATGGATATGTGCTGAATCGCAACGCAGCACAACTTTCGATGCGGCGCCATCAAATCCCTTTGCTTTTTCCCGAAATCACACTGCAAAACAGCAGGATTGGGGGCGGGGGCGTATTTGTTTCATGGATAGGCTTGCTTGCTTGCTTGGTGGGATGAGGCTCGATGAGGTGGACGCTTGACACACGTGCAGCATCACGATAGGCACTCGAGTGTGGTTCGGTAGAAAGGGTTGGTTTGGGCGCATTGTCCATACGACTGACACCTATTTATTGGTCAGTCTGGTTTGTTCTTTAGTTATATCCTCCCCGTTCATCGGATAAGAGAGGATTTTCCGCTTCTGATTCAACGCGATTGGCAACTCATTTCAAATGGAAAGCATTTCACTGGAAAACGGCCAGCCAGTGCAACCCGATGTCGTATGTCGTTTAGAAGAATCTTGTACTTGCAGGCCGAGGCCAGTGAAATTGAGATAAGGTTGTACAAAGGTGAGTCTTAGCGAGGCTGAGTTTGGGATCCATCCCGTCATGTTGTACAGGAGGATGCGGGCCGGACAGTTGAAGTCATCGAGTGGGAGCATTGAGCAGTCACGTGCCATCAAACCTGATCACTATCAGATCACGTATAATCCCTTGCGGGTGAAGCGACACCCAAGTACCGCTATTGCCTCGCCCGTGACGATATGGATATGATTGCTCAGTTGCGTGAGTGTGAGGAACTCGTGGCCCTCACACATGCGTTGATTGGAAAGCTGTGGAGTCTTAAAGGCCCGATGCACCACTGGACGGGAGCGTCCTGTCCACTGGTTGCCTCCTCACCTACCTACTATGTAAGGCAGGGAAGGTAGGTAAGCTCAACTGAAATGCTGGTCACCAACCTGGGCACCTTACTACGTACGCGTCCGACTCGCTGCGCGCACCGTGTCCAAGTTGTGCGTCGGGTGATGTTATTGTTTGGTTCGCAGCCATCTCCGAGCTTGCATGTTTCTCGCCTCTACGGCCTCGGCCCTCTTCTCAGCATCGCGGGGTGTTCATTATTCGTCGCCTTCCCCCCGGTCAATCAAGTCTACGGGCCTTACCTGCATCTGCATCTCTTGGGGCTTTTCTGTTTTTTCCCCCTGGTTCAGGCTAGGTCTGAGTCTTATTCCTTACCACCTCACCAGTCTCGTTCTTGTCACTTCGCATCATATTCCGATTCTCTCTCTCTCTCGCCATCATTACATTTCACCACGGCTTTTGCCACTTGAGTAGTCATCGCTAAATCATCGCAGCTCTGCAGTATACATACAACATCAGCATCTGCGCGCAGAAGCCGCGGATCGCGACGTCGATAAACCAATCCGCCCCGCTCCGTGCCGTTAGCGCCTTTTCAGGATTGGTATCGTTTCCGCTACTTAGCTCCCCGTCGTCGCACTCAACGATTGTCAACACCTTCCACTCAGCCCGGTCGCGCAGCTGCAGCAGCAGGTTCAACGCCCACGTCGACGACCACATACCACTCAGATTTCGACCTGCGTGCCTGTGCGACTCTGCGCCGCGTCGCATTGTTGTCATCGGCGCCATCGGCGACTCGCCGTCGCCCGCCTCCGAGACGCAAGGTCGACGACGCATTTTCCCATGTCCAGGCTGTCATAGGCCCTCTCGTCTTGCTCGAATCCGCACCTTCGGCTTCGAGACGTCTTCATGGTCTCGCAGCCCGATCCTTCGACCTCTCTAACCATACGAGGCCCTTCCTCGGTCGTTTCGCGTCCTTCCCTCTCACGCACGAAGCGGTACAACAGGTCTCACGTCGGCGGCTCCACCTATATTGCCCAGAATGAGTTCCCCGTCTTCACCAACTCGGGCGATGTCGAGATCATAGTCAAAGCCGCCGGTCGCCAGAATCGCTATGTACTGCATCGCCACACCCTCACCAGGTGCTCCGGCTTTTTTGAGGCCAGCACGAGTCACGAATGGTCCAAACCCGTCTCCGATGCCGCCTCCGGTGACCTTGCCCGCATCAGTGACGGGTCATCGGCGGAGTCTTCCACAATCACAACCTCCCACCGAGCCTTGACCTCCATGGCCACCCGCAAACGATGGCGCTATGAGCTGGACCCTGGCACCGGCGATGGAGATATTCCGATGTTGGTGCAGAAGGATGAGGATCGCTCCAAGGCCTCCGCCTCCGGCTCCGGGTCGTTGTTCGGTCCTGGCGCCAGCGAAAGCGGCGGCATGCGGAGCCAGACCTCTTCGCACTCGCATTCCTCGTCTGCTCACTCAAGCAACAGCTTTTTTCGGTCCGTGGCCAACTTGAGCCTAGCGCCTGGCTCAACATCAGGCCCGCCTCTGTCTCAGGCTGATCAAGACTTACTGCGGGATTATGACAACTTATTCCGCATCTTCTACAATTATCCCCCGGCCTTAGACGGCGTCAACATCGCGGATGCGTACGTGCAATGCAAGTCGCTCCTCACACTGGCGGACCAATACGACGCACTTGCCGTGGTCGGCCCCAGGGTGGATCACCATTTGCTGCAGTTCCAGTCCAGGCTTTGGAAGCAGATTGCCAAGTATCCCATATCCTATCTTCGCCTCGGCTACCTGGCTCGCAGCAAGGTCATGTTCCAGGAGGCCCTGATACATGTTGTTGGGCAATGGCCGGCCGGCGAGCGGAGTTTGCGTGCTGCCCTCCCTGACATAGTACTCGACATAATCGAAGACAAGGTAGATGAGCTTGAGGAAATCGTCAGCCGCGTGGAGGGCCGCTTATTTCGCCTGACTCTCATGACAGCCAGGGGCGAGCGTGTCACGCCTGGCACGTCGTACCTCGACTGGCTCGCGGTCAGCTTGTTCCGGCAGTGGTTGGCAGATAACACCAGTCCTCCGACGATGGATCGACGTGTCCAGAGCCGCGATGGCAGGGGCGTGGACTCGCAGCAACTCGCCCTGCCTGCCGCCGTGCCTCCCCTCGCTACTATTGGTCGTACCTATCGCACTCTAGGCGCTCCATCACCCTCCTACCTTGGCCACGACGAATGCAAGCGATTCCTGAAATTGACACCAGAGCTGTACAGCCGAGAGAATCTTCGTCGCTTCGAGAAGCGCGTGGATGAACTCAGAATGATGGCTCGTGATATCGTACGGCCGCTAATGGGCAGCGGCCTGGAGTTAGATATCAGCAGTGGGAGAACTGCTGATGGAATCGGGTATCTGACTTGCATCACTGTGGGCGACCGTGACCTCCCATGGCATCTCGAACACTAGGGCCAAGGCCGACCGGCGAGGAAACCAGTCTGCATCCCTTAGACGTTACGAGAAGGCGCGCCTGGGCCGTTCCTTTCACTGATGATATACGACATGATTGATTTGCTTTTTGAGTATGGACGGCTATAGCCTTGAATACCCAGTAGCCTGTATGTATCCCTTACAGGGGCACTACAGACAGAAAGAAGCTTGCCTCAGGCAAGCGTACTACTTAGATTTCTCAGTAATATGTTATAACTTTTCCCCACAACATGTACTGTTGTCCCAGGCTTTCGTTAGTCGTCTCCCGTAAGGTCTATGACCGAGATGCCGCTTTGCCTCCACGACTTCCCTGATGAGCGACTTGTGTGTCCCACCGTCTTCCTTGGGTTGCCATCCTCCTCCTCGCTCACGTCAATCACTTTGAAAAACCCGTGGGCGCTTCTGCGAGGCACTACCTTTTTTGAACGCGCTTGCGTTGCAGCTCTGGGCATCTTCACTTCGTCATCGTCATCTATCCAAACCGCCGAGTTTCGTCTTGTCGATCGCGGACGAGCGGTAATAGCAAGTTCAACCTCCAATGCGGCGGACGTTTTGGCCTGACCGACGCTGGCATGAGCCTCTGGGCTGGTAGGCTCGTTATCACTCAGTGATACCAAAATATCCCCCGGTATTGGCTGTGCTCGGGAGGGATTTGTGATGAAGGAATCCATCCGCGTTTGCTTCATGGGTGATCTGTTCTTTGGCGGGGTAAGAGGGGGCACTGGAGCTGAGCTCCCCGCCCGACCACTGCATTCTGATCGCTGAGCTCTTGAGACCGAAGACCAGGCACGCGGCTTTGACGGCTTAGACGTCCAGGCATGATCGGGGCCTGATAGATCGATGATGCTTCCGGGAGACGCGGAGATCAACGACGTACAAGAAGGCGCAGGCGACGAGCGCAAGGGGCTAGATGACAGAAGAATTGGCTCGGAGGACTGCTGAGATTTGGTAATCCTAGGCATGTGTTGTGAGCCGGCGAATGCCCAAGGGTTCTTATGCCCGGTCGGTTCTGCGGCAGTCGCTTTCCCGTTGGATCTGGATTGCTTACTTCGAGTAACTGAACTTCTCACAGGACTCGGTCGTAACGGTGCTGCGGGTGCGAGCTCCACATGCCCAGAACTTCGTGGTTTCGCACCGAATGGTGCTAAGCTGTGACTGTCGACCGCTGAGTCTTGCGCCCTGGTGGATTTGCTCGTCGTCGCCATATTCGCTGTGCTCTTGGTGATCTGTACCCACTTGTCGAGGGCGCCTCGCTCTTGTGCAGGTTTGGAGGCCTTTTTCTTGCTGCCTTTGCCTGTACGAGTGCTTACTTTCGTCCGTTGCTTCTCCTCCCAGTCCTCCACTACGAGAGGTACGCTCAGCTTGAGGAGAGTCTCCGGCAGCCAAATGGATTCGGCAACCAAGGGATCGAATGTGTTTCTGGCCTTGGCCTTGTCGCCTGAATCGTCAATGTCGCAATCGGCGACGCCTTTGTATTCGTCGTCACTGTTAAGTGCCAACCCCTGCCGATCAAAAGGCACAGTTTCTTCCAGCTCCTGTGACATGTCCAACCCAACGGTATCTGCTGGAATATGCACGACCCTTAACTCCGGTGTACCGTCGGTGCTGTGATGACTTCGAATTCCGGATATCCGTTTGATGAGAGCCGCCTCCTCCAGCTCAGTCTGCTCTATAGACCGGTTGGACCGGCCAGACTGATAGCGCTCAAGCAGCTTGTGTACCAACAAGCCCTGGGATAGAACGCGGGTGAGTTTTATAGCCCCGATCTTGTTGACCCAGTCAAACGTCTCATCGACGAAATATCGAAGGCCTTGTACATCTATTGGACGGTTCCACTTGACAGTTGTCTTCAGCCTGTCGATGGTGTCGGCATTGGAGACAACTGGATGAGTATAGTGACGTAGAACCTGTCGGTTCGGGAACTCTTCCGGAATAGACAAGGCCTTGTGTTTTGTTCGGAAGAAGCCACTGTCGTTGGTTCGAAGTTCAAGTTTCAGAATCGTCTTCCAGTCCTCGAATTGCGTGCTGTCATCAATCTTGAGTCGACATAAAGACTTCCCAAACCCAGCTTTGGCCGCCTCGCAGGCAAGCTTGACACCACAGCCAGGAACACCCTCTGGTATGTAATCGCCACCACTCATCAGGGCAACCAACACCATCCCTTCTCGATCCAGGCCAGTGCCGGCGGACAACAGTTCTTCGACATCATACATGCTGACGTGGGTGGGCGTTTTTGCCCCGCGGGTTCCCTCTGATGTCCAGTTTCGCAGTGTTCTCGTGCAGCCAAACATGATGGTGTCGACGTCCTCGCTCAACACAGCATCGACGATGCCGTGCTGCTGTAGCAGAGCACACTCTGCCTCGGCCTCGCCAGGTGAGTCATGAACGGGGAAACCGAAAAGACGAATCAGTCTCTTTGCCATCGCCGTCGCTACTCCGTCTCCCCTGCCAGAGCGCTTGTTTCGTTTGAAGGCTGGTTTGTGGGGCCCGTCGAATACAAAGATTGGATGTATTGCAAGTCCGAGAAGTCGCACTAGACGATAAAAAAGAGTCCTTATGGCAGGATTTGTGCCGCCTGGATATAGGGTTAGTCAGCTTGACGTTTGGAGCAGGAGAAGTCCTGACCTCGCGCAGCTTGTGTTTGGAATTGCCAGATAGCAATGTCGATAGCCAGTCGTAATGGCTGGCCGGTACTCTCTAGATGGTCTGTTGCCAGCTTGGCAAGCGAGATTCTCTGGCCGGGGCCGAGCTCACGGTAGATACTGTTGAGCCGCAATGAGTGGTTGGCTTTCACCAGAGTCACGAATGATCATCTCACTCACCCTTTGATACCCATCGTCGACTGAGAAATGAACTCTTTGATTGTCAGTCACCCAGGACGAGTCTCGCCACTCGGAAGTCGACGCCTCAAGAGGAAAGGAGGATCAAATGTTGAAAAGGGCAAAAAGGTATGAGACTTGAAGTCATCAAGTTCAGCGCATCCTCGAAAGCGTGAAATCGATGGGGTGTTTCGATGTGCGGCCTGAAGGCGGAGGAGAAGCCCGGCAAGGAGGTTATAAACCAGTCAAATTTGTGAAAAGGTTCTAATTAGTACCGATACTTGGGAGGCTGGTGAAGCCACAGTTGTCGTCTCAGAGTCAAGACAAGTGAGTATAGAATCTTGGTGTGCAATGGGGGGGGGGGGAACGGTTACTCGGGCTACGGTGCCACTTTGTTGACATTCGGAAAGATGTCCATTGGCGTTGAAGCGCAGGGGCGATGAGGTGCCTTAGACCTTATTACCAGCTGGAAGGTACGGATAAGGTACCTAGGTACAGTGTAAGGTCCGGTCAGCCCCAAATATTCTGTGGGGCCTGACGTGCCCAGGCATGACCCGTAACACCACCGCCACGGCACAGCACAGCACCTCTCCCTACCGACCTCAGCTCGAGGTGCTGCGCAGGATCGCGTGCAGCATCGTTTGGCGCCACGCTGGCGATTTCTACAGCTCCACGTCCTCGTAATGTCGTCCACCACCGGTCCGAGCCTCGCGCATCGATCCATTTCCAACATAAGAACCGAGCCCGGCGGTTCCAGTCTCGGCGGCGGCCCTCTCAGCCCCCATACGCCGTCGCGCGCGATATCCTCTACATTTGGCTCACCGTCCAGCCTCCGCGCCGAAGAAGATACCATTGTCATTGAGCTAGGCTCCCGTTTCATTCGTCTTGGATTCGCGGGTGAGCCGCTTCCCAAGGCTGTACTGTCACCTGGCCCCGAACAGCAGCGCCGTGTTGGTGACTTTCGCGCTTGGGATCCCGAGCATAGCGATGATTGGAGGCGGCGTCCGACAGGCAAGGCTTGGGGAAACGACCATGAACTCTGGCAGCATGATGTGCGATCGTTGGATCTGGGTCTCGTCGAGGACAAGATTGATCGGGCCATTCGTGAAGCCTTGACCAAGTACTCTCCCTTCCCGCACTATACCACCAAGCGACATGACTAACCTGGCCTGTGTAGGTTTCTGCTGATCGATTCGCGCCCTCGCAGAACCGCTCTCGTCCTTTCATCCTCAGTGTCTCTACCGCTTCTCTCAGCTGCTCTCGATGTTCTCTTCAACCGATTCCAGGCACCGGCTGTGTCTCTCATGTCCTCCGCCGTAATGTCGTGCGTTGGGGCCGGAGCTCGCTCCGCCCTCGTTGTGGACTTGGGATGGCTAGAAACGGTGGTGACAAGCGTATACGAATATCGAGAAGTTCGCACATCCAGGACTGTTCGCGGAGGTAAAATGCTCGTCGACGAGGTACACAACTTGATCCAGAACGAATTGTGCTCACATTCCGCCAACTCGGAGAGAATCCGGCAAGAAAAGCGCCTCGGCCAACACTCTGTTAGCTTTGAGGAGTGCGAGGAAGTAGCCTCTCGCATGGTTTGGTGCCGTCAATCGGAACACAGTAGCATCTCTCGCACGACGCAACAGCAACCAAAGGAGGGTTTGCCCACGGTGGAAGAGCAGGATGAGTCGACCCTAGCATCCCCCACGGTCGGCCAGCAGGAAGACGGAAATGTTGAGATTTTTCTTCGGTCCGTCGATTCGCCTGAAACCCTGGCACTGCCATTTGAAAGACTCTCGGAGCCGTGTGAAAATACCTTCTTCGCACCGCAATGTGATCGCAGCAGTTTCGACGACGATGAAACTCCTGTACATCACCTCATCTACCAGCATCTCCTCCGATTACCCATCGACGCCCGTGCAGTCTGCATGTCACGCATCGTTTTCATTGGCGGTTGTTCCAAGGTCATTGGCTTGAGACGTAGAATATTCGACGAGCTGTCGAGCCTTGTGCAGGAACGCGGATGGGATCCTGTGCAAGGACGGGCACCGGCGCAATACCAGAGCAACCCAAAGATTCAGAGACCCACGACTCGACAAGTCATGAGCGGGCCAGCAGAAGTCACATCGCCGCGCTCGGCGCCGGGGAACGACCAGACGAGCGCGGAAGAGGAAAAACCTCGAGACGCGGCAGATATCATCGAGGACTCACTCAAGAAGCGGAGTGGTAACTACTCACATATTCAAGGCCAACTGCGACCTCTGGAGTCGCTGGGGCCATGGAGCGGTGCCAGCCTGACCTGCCAGCTGAAAGTCGTAGCCATGGCGAACATCGACCGGGAACTCTGGCTCCAGCAGGGTGTTAATGGCGCGGCGCGGCCGAGCGAGATCGATGTCAAGGCTCAGCAGCGGCAAAGCATGGGACCGGGTGGCTTGATGCGTGGGGCTGCAGGCGGAGGAATGGCGAACTGGACCTTGGGAGCCTGGGGCGTCATCTAGCTGCGGAAATCTTAGAGGATGACGGGGAATTGGCTAGAGGACGTCTCTCCAAAAGCGACACTTTGCGAATGAAACGAACATGATGAACGAAGACGTAAAACGCTATTTTTGTGGGCATTCGAGCGGCAATGATACCCTAAAAGAACTGGCTTTGAATACAAATATTATTCGACACTCTAACCCGGATGAAAATGGTCGTCGTATATGATGCTGTCAGGTTCGTCTTGTCTGATTGCATAAAGCGGGAAGCCCCTGCCCCATACCGATACCCCTGTAAGCGATTTTGCGAACATCATATCATCTCTCACCTCTACCCTCAGTTTACCAGTTCGACTCATCGCCAACGAGCCTAATACTCAACAGAGATATCGTCGTTAAGGCGCGGACATGAGGAAATATTTCGCCAATCTCGTGCACGGCTCGTTGAGAAGGGCGGCGAGGCCATCACCCCGACCATCGCTGGCAGCGCGCCCAAGTCGCATTGCATCTCGTCGCGCTTTCGCCGATGTAAAAAGGCCATCCACCGCACCCAAACCAATCATCGACGTCAGACACATCCGGGAAAACCCAGAACTATACGAGAAAAACTGCCTCGATCGTAACTATCTCGCCCAAAGCAAAAGTCCAGCTCGCATCAACAGAGCTTTTGCGCAATGGCAGGCTCTGCAAAAAGATAGTCGCGCCGTCCGTGAGAGGTCTAACCTGCTCCGCCGCCAAATCGCCAACCCGGCATCGAGCCGTGATGACGATGACTTTGTCGATATCCGAAAATTGTCGCGTGATCAGCTTCTTGAGGAGGCTCGTGTTCTCAAGCAGAAACTTTCGACCGTCGAGCAGGAAGAGGCGAAGCTTGTTGAAGAGATGGAGACTCTCGCACTGGCCATCCCGAATCTCACCAGCGAGGCGACTCCTATCGGCAACGAGCCGTTACTGCTGAGTTACATCAACGATCACCCAGTCCAGCCTGCAAGTGCCTCCGACAAGGTGTGGCGGTCCCACGTCCACATCGGCTCGGAACTCGGCCTGCTCGACTTTGCTGCCGCTGGCTCCACCTCCGGCTGGGGATGGTACTATCTTCTAGACGAGGCGGCTCAACTAGAGCAGGCTCTCGTCCAGTATGCCCTGGCTGTTGCTACGAGACACGGCTGGCGCCAGGTCGCACCGCCGAGTGTGGTCTACAGCCATGTCGCCTCGGCCTGCGGTTTCCAGCCACGGGACCAGAACGATGAGCAACAGATCTACACCCTTTCTCAGTCCCAGGACGATGTTGAGAGGGGCAAGCCTGAGCTCTGCCTCGCGGGCACCTCAGAGATTCCACTTGCGGGTATGAAGGCGGAAACAACGTTGGATGCTTCGGAATTGCCCATGAAAAGAGTTGCCGTATCCCGATGCTACCGCGCCGAGGCGGGGGCCCGTGGCGCCAGTACCAAGGGTCTCTATCGCGTCCACGAGTTTACCAAGGTGGAGATGTTTGCCTGGACAAGTCCCGATGCCGACGAGACGGGTGATATTTACGAAGAGATGTTGGATATCCAGACTGAGATCCTAGGCTCCCTAGGTTTGCACTGTCGAGTACTCGAGATGCCCTCAGGCGATCTCGGCGCGTCAGCAGTCCGCAAATGCGATATCGAGGCCTTTTTCCCGTCTCGCCAGCAGCAGAATGATGGCTGGGGCGAGGTCACATCTGCCAGCATCTGCACCGATTACCAAACCCGACGACTGGCTACGAGGGCCAAGATTGATGGCAAGCTCACGTTCCCTTGGACCGTCAATGGCACTGCCCTCGCTATTCCAAGAGTACTTGCGGCTGTCTTGGAAGCGGGATGGAACGAGAAGGACGTCTCCGTTGCCATTCCAGAATGTCTCCAACCCTGGATGGACGGCAAGGACAAGATTGTACGCAAACACGTCTCCTCGTAGAGGCACCAAGCCGTCGTCGACTTCACCGAGCGATCACTGCCGCCGCCCTTACATATTGTCATTGTACGGCTTGTGTGCTTACCTACGTACGCATTCATTGCCAAGTACCCAAGGCGCCGTCAATGAAAACCGAAGCACTGACACATCACAAATGTGGTAATATTGATAGGTGGCATCGAGGGGATATAAGTTCTGTTTGTATTTTAATCGCAAAACGGCGCAACCTTCAATCCTAAAACACTGAACACACTCTAACGCTACTACATACAAAGATAAGAGATAGGGGGGAAAGGAATTAACTGTTGCTTTTGGTACAGTCTGCTAGAAACACCGCGGACGCCGTGGTCGATGAACGGGCCCTCCCCGTACAGCTGACAATTTTTGTTCTTAAAAAATCACGCAACGCATTGCACTCTCAGTTTTCGAGCACCATGACCTCATTTGCAGGTGTCTCCTGGCTGAGGTTCGAGCTTACGACGCTCTCCGTCCAGTCACTCTGCAGATCGCTCTGCAGGTCACTTTGAATGTCGTCATAATAATCCGAGTAGTCTCCGTCACCGTGGTCATCCCCGGTGCTCTCTGTGACGACGGTAGTGCCTCGACTGCTTCGACGGAGAGTCTCGGTATCGCTAGTATCGTCGCTGCTCACCTGGGTCTCGGTGACGAGGATGGCATCTCCGACAGGTGCGGGACTGGGCAGATTTTCCTCCTCCGTCTCCCTCAACGTCAGGTTCTCCTTGTCCAGATCCCCGTAGACCTTGGCGAAGCCGCCACCCCAGCTTGACTTTCGGAGACCTTTACCCCCAGCACCGGCAGTTCTCACACTCTGGCTGCGCTGAACACCTCCAGTTGGCACATTGTTTGTGATCTGACTGAGCGACAGGATGCGACGAGCGGTACCCGTCTGCGCCGGTGGCTTTAGGTTGCGCTTGGCAGACAGAGCTAGGTTGACAGCCGGCGACGACGTCTTTTCAGGGGCACCGGACTCTTGGCTTGGCTTCTGGGCCTGGACACGCTTTCGACTCATAGCGTCGCGCCCCTTGGTTGCCTTTGACATCAGTAGGACGCGAGAATGATCCATCACACCCTCCAAGATGCGGCGCTCCAACCCTTCCGCGCGAGTTTCCATGTCGTGCAGCTCCTCGCGGCGCAGATGTAAGGCCGTCTCGAGAGACGACACATCGGCTGTCAGTCTTGTCTTCTGCCTAATGAGACTCTCTTGCTCATTTCGCAGTCCGAGCACGGATGCCTTGAGTCGCTCTTCTTCTTGCTTGAGATCCAGCATGTTCTCCTGGATCTGCTCCTTGAGAGCGAGCTGGCGCTCCAGGGCTATGGTGGTCGCCTGCAACGTTTTCTCCCGGTCTTCCTCCTCCTCCGCGATTCTCTTTGTCTGACTGGAGAGAAATAGCGAGATATCTGCGGCCGTCTGGATGACCTGTTGGTGGACCTTTTCGAGAGTCTCTAGTTGAGCAAATGCCTTTTCCGCTGCGTGGCCACGATCGACAAGTTCGTCAAGCTTGCCATGGACGGCTGCATCATCGTATGTTTCAACAGGAATCAATGAAAGCTCGACCAGCTTGTCAAGCTTCTCATGGACTGGCGCGTCGTCGTATTTTTCGACCGGGAGGAGTGAGTGCTCCACGAGTTGGTCAAGTTTGCCGTTCAAGCCCGTGTCAAGTTGAACGAGCTTTCCGTTCATCCCTGTGTCAAGTTTGTCGAGTTTCTCATTCAAGCCCAGATCGTACATCTCAAGTTTCTCGTTCACGCCCATGTCGAGTTTGTCAAGCTTCTCATTTACACCCAAATCGAGTTTATCAAGCTTCTCGTGGACGCCCATGTCAAGCTTGTCGAGCTTGTCATGAACACCGGTATCGACGTTGGCGAGCTTCTCATGCATGTCCGTGTCAAGCTTGTCGAGCTTGTCAAGCTTTTCATGTACTGCTGTGTCGTCATACTTCTCGACCGGTTGAGATGCGTGCTCGACAAGTTTATCGAGTTTCTCCTGGACGACAACGTCGTCATACTTGTCAATCGGCACCAGGGAATGTTCAACAAGCTTGTCAAGCTTCTCCTGGACAAAGCCGTCATCGTACTTCTCAACGGGCACGAGGGCATGTTCGACCAGCCTGTCGAGTTTTTCCTGGACCAGTGTGTCGTCGTACTTTTCGATGGGCACCAGTGCGTGTTCAACGATCTTGTCCAGCTTCTCTTGGACTGTGGCATCATCGTACTTGTCAACAGGGGCCATGGCATGGTCAACCAACTTGTCCAGCTTTTCGAGCACCATAGTGTCGTCGTAGTACTTCTCAGGCGGTGGAAGGAGGGCGTGCTCGGGCGGCTTGGCTTCCTCGATGCGTTGCTGGATGTCGTTTGTTGATGTCTGAGCGTAGTCGTAGTGTTGGCCAACAATAAGCAAGATGTTCTTGACGGCCTCGAGTATCTGTGGCTGCGATTCGCCAACTTGTCCTTGAAGGCCCTCAAAAGCGTCGAGAGCCTGCTTCAGATGATCGCGAGTTTGCTGATGCTCAGCTTTGCCCTCTGTATGGTTTTCCTCAGACTTCGTCATGAGGTCCTCTACCCTGTTGAACACTGTTTTGGATGCCTCTTCCATCTTTTCCATCGAGTCAGTCACGGCTGAGCCCAGCGTATCGACGAGCGACTTTAGATCGTCCGCGACGGCCTTTGTACCCAGAACGGCAGCTTCGGTGTCGGCGTCTCGAGCCTCCCCTGCCTTGGCGCGATCCTCGAGAGCAGCCTGGAACTCGTCGTATTTGGTCATCAGCTCCGTGATCTTCTCGTCGATTTTGGTGCTTAGGGCTTCGGTCGTTTGCTGGAGTTTCTCGTCCGATTCCAGTTTGGCCCCGACAACGCCAGCCTTAGATTCTTCGAACTCCATCTTCATGGTGTCAGACAAATCTTTCAGCTCCTGGCCAATACTGGCATTTTGGCCCACCGTGGTTGAAACACCCTCGAGAAGTTTGGCAAGTGTCTCAACACCAGTTACACCATCCTCTAGCCTGCTCTTCACCAGGATTTGGAACTCCTCCAGGAATGTCTTGACTTCGGAGACCCTCTCACCGACGCCAACGATTTCGGCTTGTCGCTCCTCGCTGCTCTTGACTTGGGAATCAGTGAGGGCATCGAGTCGCGCTTTGAGCTCTTCCAAGGGGGCCTTCAGGTCTTCCAAGGGAGCCTTCAGCTCCTCCAGAGGGGCCTTGAGTTCATTCTTCAGCTCATCAATGGGACCCTTGAGGCCCTCTACGGGAGCCTTTAGATTTTCCAACGCCGTCTCCGTCTTTTTGAGATCCTCCTTCGTGGCGAGCGTCGCAAGATCCGCCTTCAGCATCTGGTCGAATACGTTTTTGATATCCAGGCAGACAGCCTCGACAGCTTCGACATCGGTCTTGGTAACACGCTCGGGGTCTTCCAACTGCTTTGAGGCATTGTCCTTCATCTCTTCAAAGCCAGCAGCCACCTGTGTAATCAGAGATTCGACGCTCGTCAGATCTTCCCTTCGAGAGACGGTGTCCATCTGGGTGGTGATGAGAGTGATTGTTTCCCTCGTCTCGAGAATGATGTTTTCCAAGCTGTCGAGGTGTTCTTTGCGCACTGCCTGGTCACCGTCGATGAGGTCGTCAAGTCGGCCTTTGGTGTTGCGCAGGATGGTCTCGATAGCCTGGACGTCTTCTTTTGACGCCGCTTCAATACTGGCCGGGTTGGCCGCCTCCTTCGGTTTGACTGAATCTTGGATGCTAAGAAGCACCTCCTCGAGACGTGCAAGTTCGTCTTTGGAAACGGATTCCTGGGCGCTGGGCAAGGCTGCTTCGACCCTAGTCGAGTCGTCTTTGGATACAGATTCTTGGACAAGTCGGAGCATATCCTCAAGGCGTAGAATGTCGTCTTTGGACGCGGATTCCTGCAGGGAATGAAGTAGGTTTTCCATTTGCACGAGGTCACCCTTGGAGACCGACTCGACATTGGACGGCTCCATCGCCTCAATCTTGATTCGAAGTTGTGTAATGAGGACTTCAAGATTCTTGATGTCGTCTTGCCTCAGTGTGTCTGCAGGGACAACCGCGCCGTCATTCATTGTAGTCAGTGCCTTGTCGTTTTGGCCCTGCTGGTCTCGAAGTCCATCAATATCCGAGCGAACACTGTCGAGTCCGGACTTGAGGGCATCCAAGATTTCGTCGTTGGCAGTCAGATCTGCCGGGCGATTGCCAACCTTGTCGATGCTGATGCGCAGATCTGCCAGGCCATCGTGCAGAGCGTCCAAGATTTCTGTGACGCCAGCGAACGGGCGGCGCAGCTCAGCACGCACGCTATCCACACCATCTCGTACAGCTTCAATGATCTCCTTCTGGTTGATCTGGGGAGTGACAGGCACCATGGAGGAGTTCACAGTGTCTCGAAGAGACTCCATGTGGCCCTCGATCGTCGATCTGGACTCGTCCGAAACGCGATCAACCAAAGCGGCCATGTCGTCCCTGAAGGCGTCCAAGGTGCCTAGCAATGTCTGTGTGATTTCATCCTGGTTCGTTGCGCCGGTTGCGAGATGGCCCATGTAGTCCTGCATGTCGGCCCGCAACTTGTCCATGCCGTCCTTTGTAGCATGCAAGAGCTGTTCCGTGTCACGCCCGCTGGCTGCAACACTTTGCTTTGCCTCCTGAGATGCCGCTCGAAACTCGCCGCGCATGTAGTCGAGAATTTCTTGCAACCTTGACGCGATCTCATCGTTGTTGGTTTGATGTGGAACCAGGGAGCCGGTCGTGGGTAGATCGTATTCGTTGAGGCCTTCCTTGACAGCGTGGATCACGTCTTCCCGCGTCAGCTCCTGATTAAAGGCTGACGGTGCGACGGGGAATTCGAACTCTTCCAGGCACTCGCGAACTGCATCAAGGATCTCGTCTCGAGAGAGGCTGGATGGCGTATCCACGCGCGGCGGCACGAAATGCTTGAGGCCCTCGACCACTGCCTGGAACACCTCGTCTCTGGATGCTCCAATGGGGTGTTGGTCCTTCTTGACGTAGTCTTGAAGGCCCTCTTTGAGATATTCCAAGATCTCTTCGCGTCCAAGGCCAAGGTCGTGGTTCTCGACCTCGGGCTTGTAGTTCTCCCAGGCGTCCCTGACAGCGTCGACGACATCGTCCCGGCTCATTTCTGGGGCTTTTGGTTGTGATGCCTGCGAGTCTCGTAGGGCAGCCCTCATGGCGTTGTAGATCTCCTGGTAGTCGACAGCGCTGTCTCTTGAGGAGATCGAGTTTGCGGATTGCCTTCGATGATCCCGTAGTACCTCATCCATATGCTCCCGCATTCGTTCAAGACCTTCGTGAACAATCTTTGACATCTCGTCATTCGTTGCTGGAGGCCCTGCAGACGCGACCTGCGTGTTGGCCTCGTCCAACTTTCTACCGATCTCTCGTCCCATTCCCAACACCTCGCCGCGAAGTTCTCTGACTAGAGCCTTGACTTCCGCAGTCAGTCCACCGCCTTGAGCGACGCTGTCCTTGACGGTGCGGATAATTTTCAGAACCTCATCGCTCACCAGATCAGAGGCATTGGTGGGTGCTGTAGCAGACCTTGAGGCTGGCTCATTGTGCATTATCCGCTCAGATCTGTGGGTCAGTTGGCTAGAGTAGCCGGGGTCGAAGTCGAAGTCGGTACTGTTTTCGTCGTCGTCAAAACCCGCCGGGCGAGGTCGATTCCCGCTGCCGCCGCCGCCGTGCCCTCGCGATACAATGGCATCGTCAGGTCTGCTCTTGACAAGATTTATCAGCTCGTCCACCTTGGAAGCTGGCGCGACACCGGCGAGCTTTTCGGCAACATCGGTGAGACGGGCTAGCAGAAGATCGTGTCCCTCCTTCGTTCCCATGTCCCTGATAATCTTATCAAGTATCGCTATTGTAGCAGGAGATTCCGAGTTGCAGAGAGACGGAGTGCTGATGTTGTCTCTATCTCTATCGATTGACGCTGCGAAGCTGTTGGGGGACGGAATCCTGGGGAGCGAAAAGGGGCGGGAAGTCTTGGAGGCGGGCGGAGAAGTATGATGGGACTTGGTGTCCAGAAACAGGCCACTGGCGAACGGATCGCGAGAGGACGGCCTCGTCGTCGAGTCGTGGGCATTGTTGATGAGTTCGCGCAGGCTCTTGCGAATATCCTCGTCTCTAGCTTTTGTTGCTTCCTTGAGGCTAAGCAAGTCGGTGGCATTGTCCCGACTTCGTCGACTCAGCTGTGCCATGTCCTTTTGAAGAGCCGTAGCGATGCTCGTGAGGCTGAGAATTTGCCCGGAAAGGGCGTCCACGGATTGGGGTGATTTGACAAGAGCGGTGGAGCCGTTATTCGGGTTAGACGGGGCGGTATCTGGTTCCTTGGGGCCGTGGAGCGGCATGTTCTGGATCGCGAGCATCGTCGCAGACTGAGGTGGTGTGTTTTCGCCAAGGATGCTCTGCTGCTGCCTCTTGACGGTTGGACGAATGATTGGTGTCAGACTCGGGGCTGACGAAGGGGTAGTGGCTTCCTTGTCCGATCTTGCGTCCGAGAAGCTATCTCTTCTTTTGGAGGCCGGAGTAGAAGGTCGGGCGGCTCGATCGGGAGACTTGGTCGGGGATGGAGGGTTCGATTGCTGACCACTTTCAAGGAGCAAACTAAGGTCCCGGACCGATCCAGGTTGAAGGGACTGCATCCGCTTGTGTTGAGAACCTCTGATCAGGGAGCGCTCCGGCGACACGTCGGTGTTCCGCTTGGTCAGGGGCGCCGGGAGCATTGCGCTCTCTCGCGCCCTCTCGGTAAGGGCAGCATGGGCAGACTGAATGGCGCTTGACGTTCCTTTTCTAGAGGTGCTGACACTGGGCGATTGCGGGTTCAGAGGCAAGGGCGGCGGCGCCCGATCGGGATCTGAGCTATCCCACCTGGTCTTCATCAGTCGACGCCAGATAATAGACATGGCCAGCACATGACGGGACAAGGCAGGAGAGGATGTTGGCGAACGTCAGTATTATTTTGAAAACTCACATTGGCACTAGAGCTCTGCCCTGATCGGAAGACATAGAATGCTGGTGTCTCAGAGGACGGTCGCCGTCTCTTGGAGCTTCGCGCTCCACGGGAGCCATTGTTCTCGTGGCAGATGACTGAGCTGGTGGAATGTTGCTCGCTGGCTGGCAGAAGAAATATCGTTAGGTCGTAACGTCGTGGAATGCGCGCAGCGGGGACGACGGAAGCCAATGCAATGTGCTACAATGGGACAAGCGATTTGGTGTTGTTTCTGATGCTAATCGGTAGCCAAGTATGCTGCTGCGGCGTGCTGAGAGGCACTAGTTGATCTCACTCGCAGAGCATGAAGCCCTCTGCGACATCCGTGGAAGAAAGAATTCAGAGGCGGAGCAAAGGCGCAAAGCAGAGAGCAATGCAGAGCAGAGCAAAGTCAAAGTCAGCTAGGCAGGACAGCAAGCTAAGGGCGAGTTGATGTTGTGAGTGCTGATAAGGGCCCAGTCTTAAGACCCGGGTTGAATATTTGTTAGGGGTGGTGACATGTGGATTGTTGCGTTGTGAACTAAGGTGCGTCGGGTTGCGGTGAGGTTGTGCTCATGAGGTGATGCCCCCCAACCAGCAGTCGAGGCGTTTATTTTGGCCGGGTTGCGGGGCAACCTCATGGCGTCCATCCGGTGCCGCTACACCTGCCACAGGGTCAATTCAGTGTTTGGCTGCGTTGGTCAGGCACCCACCCGGCATGCAGCATAGAGGGGCCCGCTAGTGCGGTGCCACTACCCAACATGCCGAATCCGGTAAGGTTCAAGCGACCCAGGGCGACACTGATAAGGATAAGAAAAGCCTACCTACCTTACCTAAGGTAGGTGTAAGGTCGGGTAAGGTAGGAAGTCGGCACCTACCTAGGTAAGGTACCTAGACGGAAGCGTCGATCCAGTGGTTCCATTACTGATTACTGGCGTACCTCAACGAAAACAACCCGCAGAATGGTGCCATATCGCTGAGTGTACTCGTATTCGCCTTTATACACAATTCTCTGGGGAGAGAGTGATAGGTTTATGTTCCTTGTCTGGCATTCGTTTTCTTTTGCTATTCGCAACGTTGCAAATGCATACTCAAGACGAGAGAAGAAAACCCACTTACGGATGGATACCTTACCTGACAGGAGTTCGAGTTTCATCGTGAGGTAGTGCAATCGACGCAGTGTTGCGCTCCAACGGCGATGATCGATTTGACGAGGCTCAAAAATGTTGGGTGAGAGTCTTGGTCCAAGTGATACAAGCGAGGTTCAGATACCACATGTCCGGGGAGAGTCCAGTTTCCACAAGCCGCGTACAGAGTACGATTCAAACAATTGTGGCAGCAGCACCTCCAGCTTGGCACTTGGGACCACCAGGAAAGATGACTTGGCCTCGTGGAAGTGTCAGCTATCTATCACAAGCGTTCTGCCCAAAAGAGCCAAGAGCTGTTCTCCATTCTGATGAGTGATTGCAGGCAGGTTTGGTCCCAGGGGAAACGAGGCTGACGACCTGACCTAGCCTTAAATCTAGAAGACGGTCTCGGACACTTAGTAGTGATAGCCGCAACATTAGTCTTGTCAAGTGGAAGAATCCTAGTGTGTGAAGTAAAGAATATCAAACCCTGGTGATTCGTGAATGTGAAGTCCAGCCCACTCGATATGGGTTAGTTGATGATCGCCGCGAGGGATCCGGCGATTCCATTTTCACATCCCAGACCCCAGGATTGCGGGGGCCAATCTGCGACAACCTTACGGATACATCGCCAGACCGTCGTCCACAAACTAGAGGTATTCCTCCCAAGACCATATACAACGACGCTTGCGCTTCGGTGCAGTGTTCATACCGGCCTAGTTCTGAAGTTAATCCGACTCGCCTCGGGTGGGTTGGACATTCGTGACCAAGCGGACAGGAGACGGTTTGCTCCAATAGCAGTTCTCGACTCCGGCCGCGCACGCCAGCACGCTACTACCTTATGAGCCTCCAGTTGATCAGCGGCCCTCCGATATCCGGGCCGGACTTTGGAGATATCATGACCCCTACCTATCTTGGGTAGGTTCCGCCAGTCTCCTGGACGTACTGGTACACAGTAAAGGGTGGGTTCAGGTCAGTGGAGGGCGATGACGGTTCTAGTACTGCGGACGCTGCCCTTGTAGTAAAAGTGAGGCTTCATTCGGAGCTGTCGATATCATCGAGAGGCAGCAGACAGCCTTGCGAGATTGTTCTGTTCAAAGCTTTCGATAGACAAACAGCACAGGATAGGCCCGAATCCAATGTCGGATGCTGGCGGAGGCTGGCTTGATTGGTGGCGAAGGGAAAACAGCCAATGGCAGGTGCAGGAAGGGCCCGCGGCAGCCTTGATTGCTCGACCAGTGAAAGCGAAGAGGAAGTCCAAGACTGTTGCCGAGAGAACGAGGGCATCCCTGTTTTTGGGGTCTGGATACTCATCGACCCATTATCCGTAGACAGCGAACAGATTTGACGCTACGGCTACCGCTAAGCCATCATGGGTCGTGGCCCGACGGCTCTCGGAGCGAAGCTGACAGGCGGTAGACAAGCGGTGGGCAGGCGAGCCACGTCGACGATGACCTCGATATTCCGTCGGTGTGGGATCTTCTTGCAAGGTTGGGTTGGTGGTTGACGGGCAACCCGGCTCATCCAAGTCGAGACAAGCACACCGCGAGAAAAGGAGGCTGGGGGGACAGGGAGAACAAGGCTCAAGGCTAGCGGCCTTCCTGACCCGGCTTGGTTCCGTGGTGGCCGCAAGTGTGAGAGGATCTTTCGGTATATGTGTAAACCACTCCTCAAGGCCTGTAAAAAGCCTGTCGCGACGCGTCGCAACAGCCTTGGGAAAACCGGACTACGAACACTCTGTCGAAGTACGGAGTACAGGATAGTGCACACCGCACTCCCGTCCGTACTCCCTGCATTCGCGTTTGCAGGGCCGAACTCATTGCCCATGTGTGGTGACCGCTGCCAATGGCTATGCCACAATGCGTGCGTGTTGGAGGTTTTGGGCGCTCGGCAGACACGTGTAGGGATGGCCCGGACGGATGTCGTCTTGAATCAAGGTTGGCGGCGGGTGGTCAGGGGGCGACACATCCCATTTGAGCTGGTGTGGTGGGGGGTTTGTGTGTGTCCACTGTTCTCGGCCTTTTTTCTCTTTTCTTTTTGATAGGTCAAGGTACTTTACAGTATATCATTCTTAGAAGTGTGTAGGCAGCCAGAATGACACCCGGTCCATCATAGAATACCAATACAATGCGGAAGTCTTAATGAACAGATAGCATCCGCATCTCTCCAAGATGTCCCACGGAGGAGGTTATTGTACACTACGGATAGAGTCAGTGAGGCTGTGACGATGTCGCGAAGCACAGGCTCCGGGGTGCCACATGCATAGAACAGACGTGGGAATCGATCAATGCCTCCCCACTTGAAGTTTCTGCGGGATGGCAAGTATGTAAGGTACTGTACCCAACTGTGCAAGCACGGATGACGTTGGTGAGCACTGATTGCGCTCGTGCCTATTCAGATGTGTGACATTGAGCTAGACTATTGTGTCGAGGTAACTAAGGTACCTAGGCAAGTGTGCCATTGTCTCTTGTCTCAGTCGGATGAAGCGAGGGGACGGTGATACGACGATTAGAAAGAGAAGCAGAGATCCAGACGCTGGGCCATGAAAGAAGGGCCACAGTAAGGTAGCTTATCACGGAGGGGCCATCGCAGACACTCGAGATATGGAGGGGGCAAAGAGGGAGACGCTGACCCGTCAAGAGCAATTACGTACCTACGGATACTTGGGTAATTGGCGTTGGTAAGGTCCAGTGCATTGAAGTTGGCAAATTACCGACTTTACTCTGCAGCGCAGCACCTACGTAAGGTACCTAGGTAGATAGGTACCTTAAGGTACGATGCGTAGCAATTGCCTTTTCTTCTTCTTTGGCCTGGCCGTTATTTTCTCAATGTCAATGACAAAAGCTGAGGCCGAGGCTGGTTCCGAGACGGCGGCCGATGACCAGCCTACAACTGGAGCGGCGAGTAAAGGGAGGACAGAGAAATGTTGGTTGTGAACCCTGAACCTCGTCCGTCCTGCCGCCTCTGAAAGAATCACGACCGGCGAGCAGAGGCAGGCAGGCAGGAAGAGCAACAACTGAATAAAACCAGAAAACGAGAATCACACAGGGTGGCTAGCTGGGGCTGGCTACCTGCCCACTTCAGAGTCTAAATTAGCCCCTCCAATCGTTCGGGCGCATGGAAAGTCTTCGTCCGAAGGAAAAGAAGAAAAAAAAAAACTCGCATCGTCCAATCATGACGCGTGCAGCCACAACTTTGGGGCGCCGATTGGTCTGGTGTCAAAGTGTGGGGCAACGTCTTATTACCCTACTTGATGCGCCCAGCCCTGTTTAATGTCGAGCAAACGTGAACCGGTAGGAACCTTACCTACCTACCTAGGTAAGTACAGAGTAGGTATCCATTGTACCTTTCAGGTTGGTACCTAGGTAAGGTGCCTGCCTAAGTACGCAGTAAAGTAAAGGTAGGTAGGTAAGGTACCTATGGTATCTAAGGTACTTATGTGCCCTTAGCGAAGACGATACGTAAGGTACCTACCTCAATCCAATGGATCTCATCGCAACGCGGGTGCTGCCCTGGCTTCTTTTTGCTCCTTACCCCTGCCCTGGCCGTTATTTCCCACCTCTTCACCCTTTCCAAGGTTGAAGGCTCAATGCTCAACCGCTGGCTGGCAGACAGGGTCCCACGACCAGTTGCTGCTGTCCCTGTTCCTGAGAACCCCCGGCCTTATTACTGAAAGTGAACCGGCACGACTACCAAATCGTTCCAAGGCCTCCACTCCCTACCAACTACCTACCTAGGTTGGCTTATATTGTCCCACCGCCCACTGCGCCGCCTCCGACGACCTTTGCGCCTTTTCCGTCCGTTGCGCCTGGCACTTGCTGCACCCGCACCCGCTCCCGCACGCACACTCGCACCTACTCAATACTAACACCTGCAACCTCCACCTACTTTTCTGGGAAAACTCGAGCGATTCGGCTGTATAAGTCAGGAGCGCGGCAGCGACGACGGCGACGACGACGACGACGACTATCAGAAGGAAACACTGAGGGCCAAAGAGAGCGCGCGATCAGGACTGAGTTCAGCCGAGCCGAGGGGTAATGAGTTGTCGCGCATCGCGTCCAGCCAAGGGAAGATTTTAAAATACGAGGCTTCGAAACAAGGAGGAGAACCCACAATCAGCACCACCACCACGAACTCGATCTCGACCTCGACCTCGACCAGCCAGCTAACCAGTCACCTTGCCCGACATAACTCGTTACTTATCATCCACAAACACTTGTCTCACGGCCAGAGTTCGAATTGCTCGCCTACGAGCTCGTCGCTGCCATTTTTTGATACCGCCGACGCCCCAATACTAGCTTCGCCGTTTCAATCCACCACAGCGAGACATCAAAGCCATTGTTCGCCCGCGACACGAGTTGGGCTTGCGACCTGTGGTGTCGAGAGGGAACGAAAACATCCTCTGGCATTTTAGCCACTGATTTCCCCGCAAACATCCGCCACAATGGGCTCAACGCAGTTCGGCAACTTCTTTGTAAGTTTTGCCCAACGCGTTCCAACACCCTCTGCTGATCACCTCCGCCAGAACTTTTGCCGAGATTCGACACTGCCCGTCTGCAATGTTCTCTCCAACAATCACACCCAGGAGGGGCCGTGGGGCGGTTGCGAGCTGAAAGGAATTCCTCTCAGTGACAACCGCAAGCTAGGCAATTTGGGTGTCATTTTGCTTTGCTTCGTGGCCATCCTGACAACGGGCTATCTCTACTTTAGATCAGAGCGTAAGAAGGCTGCGGTCGGTCGAAGGTAAGCCCGTGACATCGCTCGAGCGGCGCGCTCCAAACCGCTCGGTCATCATACTAACATGCTGCTTCTAAGGGAAATGCAACTGTTCCTGGTTGCTTTTGGCGTCATTCAATTATGTGAAATCTTCACCGTGGGAGATTTTCCTCTGGGAGAGAGCGTTCGAATCGTATGTGCTGTGATCCAATTGTCGAGGAGCAATCACTAACACGTGAAGGCTTTTACCGGTATTCACATTGGCATGATCATCGCGACAACCTGGATTTTAATGCTCAATGCTGTCGTTGGTTACCAAATCGTTGACGATGGGACGCCCTTATCGATGGGTCTGATCATAGGCTCCGCGGTTGTTCTGCTCGGTGGAACGCTCTACATCACGCTCGATACCGGGTTTCACTGGACTGGCTTCTGGGACGATGCATACACATCACCTCCCAATCGCCACATCGCCCTCTACGTCTTGTACCAACTGGCACCTCTCATCTTCCTGGTTGCGTTCTTCGTTCTCGAGGGCATCCTTGTCATCCGTATACTCGGCGAGATGCGGCCGATGCTCTACCTGACTGCCGCCTCGGTGCTCTTCGCCGTTGGCCAGATCTTCAACTACGTTGTCAGCTCCCACATTTGCGAGGGCACTGATGGCAAGGTTGACGGCTCCTTGTTTCAGACTCTCTTCACCCTTTTGGCCGTCGTCACTGTATGGATTTTCTGGTCCAGCATTACCGAAGATGACTGGCCAATGCCCGTTGGAAATGCGTATCCATAGGCGAAGAACACCAGTTGTGTGACATCGCTTGGAGATGGACGAGTCCGAAGTCCGCCGCCGCCGACCGACGGCTTTTAAGAGATTGCGCAAACAAAGGGGCCGACTGATTATTATTAATAGTATTGCAACAGCACGAGACCCAAGTTCCGCTTTTCGTCGGCCTGTCGAAGCACAGTGAGCCATCAAGTCACCGATGTCCTCGAGGGTGATCGGCAGGGTCACAACAAGCTGTTTGTTTTTGCGAGTAACAAAGCTGAGGACGTTGATTGAACTGGGCCTCGTGTCGTGCATTTCTGAACATTCCTTTGTGGCGACCGAAGGTGCGAAACCACACGAGCATTTGATGCTGAGGTATGAGTTACGCATAGCGGTTGTTTACAGTTCGATTCCCCAATCATCACCGAAGTCTAGATAGGGGCCACTTTACATGCCCCGCAGGCACTGCTCTTGCGGAAGAGAAGGGCGGGCTGACGGTGTGTTGACGAGCATGACGAAGGCGGAGGGAAAAGCTGATATTTTGTATTTTTGTATTTTTTTCGATATCTTTTTTGGTCTTGTCGGGATGCATAACGCGGCGGATGGACAACCATCCGGCGATGGATGTACAACGCACGGACACATTTTACGAGTAGCGGATAGTTATACCCCGATGGAAGGAGCGACTAATGTACATGAACGTCGAATGATTGATTACTCAAAAGAAGCGCATCAATCTCTTTGTCTATTTACTGTCTTAAAGGGGTTCTGCTACTACCAATACCCTTGCGGTAGAACACTCGACAATGAAAGGAAAGAGAACCGATCCGAAGCACCCAGGTCACGATCAACTAACTGTATGAGCTGGACTGTAATCGCTTCATCTAGAGACGTTTGGGAGGAGGACTGCATGATGGAGTGGATTCGGCGGCCTCGTACTAGTGCTCCGGTAGTGCAAACGTCCAAGCCGGGACCGGTCTTCTCCCGAAGGCTTATCAGCCCCTCTCCGGTCCCCGGTTCAGTGCCCCTCTTACTACAGATTTCAATATCACTACACAAAGGCGTTAAAGTAAAGTACCAAGGGGGACGTAGCTGGGTTTTACTGATAGGTGTCCCTGCGATCTCGCGGCATTGCAGAAGACTTAAATTTGTGGTCGTGGATTCACATGGGTGATCATCCGGGTTACTGGGGGGGGGAAGGCAGCCGTGTACGGCCATCTGTTTCTCGAGAGATGATTGGTTTGTCCACATAGATAGAACATTTTTGTTTGTGCCAATGAGGTTGAAATGGAATAAATATACGTAAAGGGACTGAAATAGCAAAGCGAAAGTCATGATACCAGCATGTGAATGGCTCGAACAGGGGTTTGTGCATTAGACCTTCTCTGATTGGCTGTTTGTGCATAACCCTTGCCTAAACTACGAGGCTGCGATCTTTTTTCCTCCAGCCTTGCCCACCGACGCTGAGCTCTCAACTCGTCATCTCCTGCACCACAGTGCCAACTCCATTGTGCCGTCACACCTCCCCAGCGAACGCATTCATCAAACCGAAACGGAGACCATACAGAAGCAAGGGGGCTCAAGGCACGAAAACCATCCTCAGAATATCTCCAAAAAAACGAATTCTCTTCACGCATCCCCCGATCAACCTCAACTCACAATGGCCGACTCCGACGGCGAGTACGTTGAGGACATGTCCGACGATGATCTCAATGACCACCAAGTAACGAACGGTACGGGTGCCGATGGTACATCAGGGAAGGCGCGCGGGAAGAAGGGCAAGAGCGGACACTCCAAAGCACGATGGGAGGACGTCAAACGCAGCTGGGAGGAGGTCACAGAGGGCGCCGATGGCAGTCTGGCGGTGGGCGCCAGTCTCGAAGCCGAGAAGAGGAGGAGGCTTCTAAGAGACACGACACCGCTGCAGCGCGGTATCATTCGTCATCTGGTGCTGGTATTGGACATGTCATTCGCCATGACCGAGAAAGACATGCTTCCCAACCGCTATCGCGTCGCGTGGGCATACGCTGCGGACTTCGTCAAGGAGTATTTCGAGCAGAACCCGATCTCGCAGTTGGGTATCATTGGAATGCGCGACGGTGTCGCTCTTAGGATCAGCGATATGAGCGGCAACCCAACCGACCACCTCGAAAAGTTGAAGTCGTTTGAGGGACAGGAGCCGTCTGGCAACCCAAGCTTACAGAATGCGCTGGAAATGTGTCGCGGGGCTCTATTGTAAGGATGGCACGGCACACGCATTGTTTTTTGAACGCTTGCTAACTTGCGATGCTCCAGCCACGCTCCCTCTCACGGTACTCGTGAAGTGCTCGTCGTCTTCGGCGCCCTCCTCTCCTCTGATCCCGGCGACATTCACGAGACAATATCATCCCTCATAACCGACCGAATTCGCGTTTCTATCGTCGGTCTCGCCGCCCAAGTTGCCATCTGCGCCGAACTCTGCACACGTACAAATGCCGGCGACGATACTCAATATAGTGTGTGCATGAACGACGCCCACTTCCGAGACCTGCTCCTCGCCGCTACAACACCACCAGTAACCCGGACTATTGCACAGAGCACCGCGTCCCTCCTCATGATGGGATTTCCTTCTCGAACCCTTGTGCAGGGCGAGGCCACCGCCATCTGCGCCTGCCACAATAAGCCTGCCCGCGAGGGCTATCTATGCACGCGCTGTGGTACTCGCGTATGTCGTCTGCCTATTGAGTGTCCGGCATGCTCTCTGACGCTCATTCTCTCCACCCATCTCGCCCGCTCATACCACCATCTATTCCCTCTTCGTAACTGGGTGGAGGTCCCTTGGGCGGATGCCAGCAAATCCAGAGGTTGTTACTCTTGTCTCACAGCTTTCCCCGAACCGCCCAAGGCGTCCAAGAAGAAAGACAAGGACAAGGACAAGGACGGCGTCTCGACAGTGACCCCCGTCGTCCCTGCTCCAGGCCCACCACCGGAGCTCAAGGGAGTTAGTGAGAGCGGACGATATGCTTGCACAGTGTGCAACAGTCACTTTTGCATTGACTGCGATGTTTACGCTCACGAGGTAATTCACAATTGCCCTGGGTGCCAAAGCGATACTCGCGGGGTGGCAGCGGAAACCGTCACCGAGGTCAATGGCGCAAACGGGCATCAAACGAACGGGACGGCCATGGTCATCGACTCATGACAGCATAGTGGAGAACACATCAAGGCAACTGAAAAGCAAAGTTCGAGGGAAGTGCCTAGGACAAAGCACGAAGCGGTCGGAGAAGACGGACAAGCGCCGCACTGCGAAATAAAAATAAAACCACTCAGACCAGAGAAGTGAAGTCATTTTCGGCTTCGGCAATTCATTTAGGAGCCACGGGCGACCCAAGGAAGGGCTGAATGATATGAGGAGACGGTACAGTCTATTGGCGCAAGGGATCCTTTGCAGGATCATGTTTTCAATATACCTAGGGCATGTACATAACAAAATATGAGTGCGGGATTCGTCTCTTTCTTCCCAGCAGAGACCAGAAAGCCTGCTCTGCCCCGGAACACGCTGAACATGCCTACGTTATTTGGGATCCATCGCGTTACAAGTTTCCGCGCTCAGCCTGCTCACGCTCAATCGCTTCAAACAAACTCTTGAAGTTGCCCGCACCAAATCCCTCAAAGTGGTTGCGCTGGATGATCTCAATGAAGACCGTAGGTCTGTCCATGAGTGGTTTGGTAAACAGCTGCAACAGGTAACCTTGCTCGTCGTAGTCAATAAGAATGTTGAGCGCCTCGATGGTGGCGAGGTCTTCCTTGAGCTCCCAATTGCGCTTTTCCGACTTGAGTCGGTGACGCATGGTGTCATAGTATGTCGGGGGGACGGCGATGAACTCAACGCCGCGGGCGCGCATTGCCGACACGGTTTCGATAATGTTGGAAGTCAGGAGAGCAATGTGCTGGACACCCGGGCCGGAGTTAAAGACGACGTACTCCTCGATCTGCGACTTCTTCTTTCCCGGGGCCGGCTCATTGATGGGCATCTTCACCATGTTGTTTGCTGATGACATGACGATGGAGTTCAAGGCCGAAAACTCGGTGCAAATCTGGGAGTCATCGACAGACCAGAAACGGTGGAATGAAAGGCACTGCTCGTAAAAGGCACAGGCGGCAACCATTTCATTCCAGGACTGGTTACCGACGCAGTGGTCGATGCGCAGCAAAGGCGCCGCAGGAAGAGTGACGGAGGCCTTGGAGGGCTTCGCTGCGCGGAAGCCAGGGAGAAACGGGCCCCTGTAGCCGTTGCGGGATATGAGTGTGTGAGTGGTATCGCCGTAGGTGCGAATGACGGCGGTGAGCACGTCGCCGTGATCAGGGTCGGCGAGAACTGTGGGGGGTTGGACCGACTGGGCACCCTCCTGGACAGCCTTTCTATAAACGCCCTCCACGTTGTCGACCTCGAAAGCGACATCCTTCACGGCGTCGCCGTGCTTCTCGAGGTGAGCGTGAATCTCGCGCAGGAGCTCCCGCTCCGCATCAGAGATGGGCTCGTCCTCGGGCAGGTGGGCACAAGATCGCACCGGAGAGGTGAAGACGAAACGGACGTCATTGTTGGCGACAGCGTACGATGAAACGTACCTGCTGCCGGTCTCGAGTCCCTTGTACGCGACTGTTCTGAAGCCAAAGAGAGTGTTGTAATACGAAGCGGCCTGCTTCGCGTTGCCAACCCACCAGGTTACGTGGTCGTACCCCTGGAAATTGGGCGGCGGATGTTGAACAGCGAGTCCATCGCCGAGGTCTGTTGTTGCCGGATAGGCAGCGTTTTGTGGCGGCGAGTCTGTGATTGCAGAAGGGGACATTGACACTCAGAAGCTTTCGGCGGTACCGGGGACGTTGTGTCGCGGACGATATATGGATAAGGATTGAGATCTCTGGAGGGTGGGACTGCGGCTAGAGATTGTTGGCAAAGGGGGTTCATACCATGAAGGACACAGGATGGGGACCTCAGCTTTATGTCTGGCGCACCGGTTTGGACTCAACTGTTTAGACACTGTACATTGCGGATGAACCTTAAACAACAACCAAGACGGACTTCCGTCCAAAACCACCAGGGCATGAAGTGTTGCCTCGCATTCCACGGCACGGCACACATTGGCGGTTCCAGTGGCCGCCATCTGACGCTTGTCAATGGCTAACCCCGGGGCGGGGTTCCTTCAGATCCTATGTTTGACCCAGCAAGTATCTGGGATGGGCGTCATCCTGTAATCGCCTCGACTCCTGCCCGTAGTGCCCAAAGTAGAAGGAGAGGCTGGCGGCGGGTTGCGCCGTGTAATGTTGAGATTGTAAATCGCATGCGGAAACGCGCCGGCCGAGCAAAGGACCGTGATCAGCCGAGATAAGCCGGCGCTGGCCGACCGGGCCATGTGCGCGGCGCGGCTTTGACGCTCCCCACCATGCTTCGGATGCTCCAGGCTATGCCCGCCATCCAGTCTTGCAGTGTTGGGTACGAATACAAAGAATGTGAGAGCTTGTGCTGGTAGCCGCTGTTTCCGTCATCCATGGGTTACCTTAAGTCTGGGGATAGGTCAATCTTTGGGTACCCACACGGAATGACCGCACGGCTTGTCGCTTTTCCTTTGAAACCCTTCCATAGCCGCCGTCCGTTGTAATGCGGAATGGTCAGACCTGCCTCTCGGCCGCCCGCCGTATCCGCTCGGACACTCTTGCATCTAATAAATCCCCTGGGATTGCCTATGGATTGATCGTTTCCTTCTCGTCATCAGCGCCAATCAGAAAATAATCGACAATCCGTTGGGATATCGCGGTAGGAACGACTGTATTCGGGTCTGTATTTTCAAAGAAAGACAGTCAGCATTTCCCCCTCAGTCGAGAGCCCCAAATCCCTCACATCCGCACAAATGGCTTCCGTGTCCTTGAGTCGGCACGATGTCCATGTGCTAGACAAAATCAAAGACCCCGAATCCGACCCATCAGCGAACGTCTTGCTTGACCCGTCACTGCCTCGAGACCCTCAAATGACCGACACAACTGTCTACGAGCGCGTGATCCAGAAAGAGAGGGAAATCATCTTGTCCATGCAGCAGCTCGAGCTTCAGATGGCAGGGCTGAGACCGAGAACCTTCACGGAACCCGTCCAGGAGTACAAGGTCCTCCTATCGAAGCTGGACGACTTCATCTCCGAGTATCCAAATTATGCCAGCGCCAGAAACAACCGAGTGCAGGCGTTGAGACGCTTGTATGGGGACACAATGCTGCTGTCTGGGGCACCACCCTTGTCACAGCGCCTGATCGAGAATCCCGATAGTGTCGAGATTGGCCACCAGTCCAAGTTAGCATTGGATGACATCGAAAAGTCCATCTCACTCTTGACACCTCGGAATATGTTCGGCGCCATGTCGCCTCAAGCGGCCAAGACACTGTCTCTGGCATACACTCAGCGGGCAGCCATCTACCACATGACGGCGAAGTCGGTGCCTGGGCTTCAGGTGCACGTTGACCAGAGCAGACAGGAGGCGAATTGGAGTAAGCTCGATTTCGAAGAGGCGGCGTCGCGGGACTTTGCGATGGGCGGTAGATATGGGAATGAAATAGCCAAAGGTCTGGCTGTAAGCACAAACCCGACGGCGAAGTTGTGTGGGCAGATGGTTCGGGAAGCGATGAAGAAGGAGTATGGTCCGTCATTCGGTGACTAAAGCGTACAGGCGTTGAAGCCTGAGAGCCAGCTTGAACAGATATGCCGCCGCACTGCGGTATGCCTCCCAAATAAACCTACGCGGAACCCTTGGCCAGTCCCAGCCGTCTGTTTTGTACACACGTGTCAGTGAATGATTCGGGATTCATGCGCATCGACCTCAGAATGCATACCTCTTGGCCGCGGTAACGGTGTCCTGAGTAGTCTTGCCCTTTTCCTTCTCTTCACGATTGATTCTCGTAGCGGCAGCACCAAGGCCAATGACCAGAGCAAAGATGGGATCGGCGACCTTGGAAATGATGTACGCTGGCGGAGCAGACATGGTGGGCGGGCAGCGGGCAGCTGTCGCGTATGGCGATGTAATCAAGAGCTTCCGAGAGAGGGAGGGAGATGAAGAGATGCGTCGAAGTTGAAGTTGAAGTGTGGAGTAGTACGATGGACTGCCGGCACCGGGCATTCATCCATCCACGTCTCTGCCATCACCTGGCACCATTCGCGCTGGACTAAGGTACCTACGTGCCTGCTTTTCTGGTTGGGCCCCCACCTAGGTAATTAGTATAGCGATGGAAGGTGAGGTCGGGTACACAGTACCTAAGGCCCGGGTCGGGTGCCTGGAGACCCGCCCTCGGATCAACAGACCTCCGACAAGCCAATCAAGCGAATTCGCATCTAGGGCACACCACACACAACCTACCACATTCTTCCGAACTCATAATTGCGATTTTTTCACCCACGTCGACCATCAACATCACGCCCAAAGCCCCCGACAGCGCAGGTCACCATGAAGTTCCTTAAGGTCGGCAGAGTCGCCATCATCACCCACGGCCGCTACGCCGGCAAGAAGGTACGAGTCTACGATTTTTTACGACTAGCACACATTCCTGCCGCCGAGAAAGAGATGGGTGAAATTTCACGTCGCCGGTCAAGTCTTTGAATTCGAGAGGGAGATGCATCAGGATACGGATCGAAACAGGAGTAATATACGCCGCCACCGATAACACCCGATCATGCGAGACGCGACGACGACGTTGAATTTTCACAGATGCGGCACTCGATACTCGGCGGAGGGAGGGGATGTTCACACAAGCGAAGATCATCAGGAATACTAACGTCGATTTCTTCCTAGGTCGTCATCATCCAGCCTGTCGACTCCGGCAACAAGGCTCACCCCTTCGGCCACGCTCTCGTCGCTGGTATCGAGCGCTACCCCTCCAAGATCACCCGCCGCATGTCCAAGACCCGCCAGGAGAAGCGCAACAAGATCAAGCCTTTCGTCAAGCTGGTCAACTACAACCACTTGATGCCCACCCGCTACACTCTCGAGCTCGAGGGTCTCAAGGGTGTCGTCTCCAACGACACCTTCAAGGAGGTCACTCAGCGTGAGGACGCCAAGAAGACGGTGAAGAAGGTTCTGGAGGAGCGTTACACGAGCGGCAAGAACAGATGGTTCTTCACGCCCCTGAGTATGTCCCACCCCAAAAACGGCCTTCCTGCGTCTCTTGTGACAGGAGAGCCTCGGGAACACGGCGACATGGAACGATTGAACTACGGCTAACCGGTGTTACAGGATTTTAAAAAGGGAAACCGTTTCTGCAATCGTCAACAGGTCGGGGAGTTGGGCTGGCTTTTAAAGAGCATCAATTGGCATCTGAGGTCCTCGGTTTAAGGGCTCCCAATGAGAAACCATTGAAATGAAGACGTTTTGCCTGTGATACCTCAAAAAATGGATGCGGCTGCCGTGACCGAAGAGAGTGATGGAAAAGGTCTTTGATGATTGGTGGGTAGATTCAGCCCTCGGCCGTGGGAGACGGCCATGATCAATGAACACGAAATAAGCAAGCCCATATCTACTTCCGAGGTCCGCCTTGACAGTGAACTCGAGCTTCTACCATGCAACCCGAAACCTAGGTTCCTTGCTGTGCTAGTCTTCTGATACTGTTTGCCGTCTTCCAGGTGGTGATCGCCGTATGGTCGGCGCTTCACAGTTCTCCAGCACCGGCATCGTTTCCCATCCACACCTGGCTCATCGTCGGCTATCTTCTTCGCAGTGCTAAGCCTCGGTTTTGGCCGTTCCCCACAGGTTGCACGCCATGGACCACTGTACCAGAGCGGTTTTCTCACTTGAACTCGCGGTGTTTACTGTTGCTAACTTTTTGTGTGTATCATTGCGTACGTACATGTCTATATCCTCCGCCGTCTACAGTACATCATATTAGAGCTTCATGATGCAAACCACGCAACCTAGACCCTTCGCGCTCTGCGCCTGTGCTCTATAGCTGTACACGGGGTAACTCCCAACAAACAAACAAAATTCCGATCTTCTCCGGATTAAAAGGAAAAAGGGGTCAATGGGCGCAAGGATGAAAAGAAGCTCGTAATATGTACTCAGAACAGGGTAGTTTTCGTCGCGGAAGAGAATCTGGTATCGTCACATCTCTACGCTTACAAGTAGGAAATGACAGGCCAAGAGAAAACACAGGTGTCGTCTATCCGACAGCCTATGCCCTGCTGCTGCCGAAGTGGCTGTTGACTTCGTTGATCAGGTTGTGGGGGTCGTATTCAGGGGCATACGTCGGGGCCAGGCCACCGAGCAGCGTGAAGAGGACGAATGCGGAGAGCACAATGATGCTGAGCTTGCGCAGAATGGGCTTGCGCTGGCCGAAGTCGGCCCACTGGCGGCCGGCCTCACCCATGTAGCCCTTGATCTGCTCATAGCCGAGCTTGTAGTAGACCATACCGCCGAGAGCGATGCTGTATCCGAAGAACTGAAGACCGGACACCTGCGTTCCCCAGATCATCATAGAGGCAACGACCAACATGACGTCCTTGAGAACACCGCAAAGAGTCAGGACCAGAGAAGAAGTCTTGCCGATCTGCGAGAGGAAGTTAGCATTGGCCACTGAGAGAATTGCTTGCGGATCACCACCTACCAGGAAGACGACAGAGACGTTCAACAGGAAGGCACAAAGACCGTTCAGGAAGAAAGTGAAGAGACCGACGTTGTAAACCTGGTCCATGGTGACCTTGGGGATCTCCCAAACGAGGGCAACGGCCAGGTTCATGACGGCGCAAACAGGAGCGAAGTAGTAGACCGACACGAGCGGGTCCATCTTGTAGTCGGCCGAGCTAAGCAGGCGCTGGACCATGGTGAGACGCAGGGCTTCGAAAATGACACCTCCAATCTGGTAGATGACGCCGATCCAGACAAACTTGATTTCTCCGATCGAGGCAACAATGACACCGACGACGATAATGGAGACGTTGAGGAAGACCTTCAAGTTGGGCTGGGAAACGCCCAGAGCCCAACCGGACAGCAGCACGGCAACGGGGGTGGTGGCCTGTGTGCCCTGTTAGCATCTCCATCGTGACAGTGGTGGAAGGGAAGGCGTACCTTGAGCATCTGAATGAAAGCGACGGAGAGGTACAGGTAGGTCAAGTTGCCGCAGATCAAACTCAAGCTGAAGAAGACGCCGATGGGCACGATAGCCCGCACGTAGACACGACCAGTCATCTTAACCGATTTGCGTCCATCGAGAACGTGGGTCCAGCGAGCGAGGATCTGTGTCATGATGGTCGCGAAGGTCAAGTGGTATGTCGTCAGGATGACGGGGTAGCCTTGGGTCAGTTAGCATCGTCATCGGGACTCGTCTGGCACGGGCGATCGGCTTACGGAAGTTGAGGGTGTCGAGAATCCATTTGTTGAAGAGAATGACCGAGGAGGACAGCGAGATCCAGACACTGAGGGGAGAAGTGGTCAGCAACGGTGTCTTTGAGCGACGAAAGGCGGGCAATTGCTGGATTGCGGTCGTTTCTCTTACATGACATAGAGCGCGGGATGAATCGCAGCCTTGGAAGACTGAGACTTCTCGACGTCCGGGTTCGTGGTGGGCAAGATCGAGCCGTTGTTCTCTCCGCGGGGGACCTCGCCCGAGACGCGCGTCTTCTCGTCGGCGCCCATTGTTTCGGTAGTGCGGTGCGGTGGGAGAGAGAGGACGAGGAGAGGAGAAAGAAGGAGGTTGGTGGTCGAGATGGAGAGGATAGAAGGTGACGACGATGGTAGTTGTCGTTGTGTTGTTGTCAGAAGAACAACTTGATACAGCTCAAATGCAGCCAAAAAAAAAAGGATGGGACGCGCAAAACGAGAGCGAGCGAGCGGACGGGACGGCCAAGCACTGGTTAAAGGAGTCGTGGGGTAGGCGACAGGTACTTTAACAATATGCAATTCGGGGGTCCCAGGGGTAAAATAGGGTAACAGACACCGGTTTCTGGCCTGAGCCGCAGCTAAAGCTTGGGGCTAAACAAGGCTTTGGGGAGTTGGACTTGTGGTGAGAGGAGAAATGAAGAAGCAGCCGGAAGAGCTTTTGCAATTGCAACTCTTTTTGGGGGGAGGAGTTTAAAAGAAGAGGTTAAGGTTGCTTTGAGGGCAAGCAGTGAGGTGGTTCTTTTTTTTTTTTTTTTCCCTCTTTGGTGGTGCTTCGAGAAGGGGAAAAGGAGAGTGGGTAGGGGGTGA